GTAATTCACTTGGTTGTAGCTAGTAGAAGAATCCAAAACACGCGTCAGCTGGATGTATCCGCACCCCAGTGAGTGATGTTGTTCCCAAAGCGTTATCCACTAGGCCATGAAGCATGTTATCTCCTTAACCCTTGCTAATGCATTTCATTATTAATACAACTTAATGATTTTTCGATTCAACTTCGGTCGTATAATATTTACAAAATGGACAGCACATTATGATTCTGAAGAAATAGTCTTAATATGTATGCAGAAGTATAAAGCTTGGAAGTATAATGATCAAGAAATATACAGTCGAAATCCATTATACCGTTTTGATAACTAGCAGTTACCAGGATGGTTATGATAACAAAATATAATGTACAAAACATCGAAACCTGCTAATGACCAACTTGAATAGTTAGAAACCAACTCAGGCTGATCTGTAGAATTCCCCAGCCAAACAGAGTAATGTAAACATCAAATAGCCGTTTCGCTCGTTTGCGACCGAGTTTCTCAGTGGTGTATCCGGATAAATTCAGCTCATACAATTCAATCGCATTCAAACCACCTGAATGTGGTAATTTGTAATTCTTTTCATACTAAACAACTACTACCAGTGAAATACCAGTTAGACTGTCATAATTAATTCAAAACTGATTTTCTGAAAATCTCAACACATTTTATACAAAACAGAAATCGGAAAACAGATAAAAACCCGCTTATACGATCGTTTGTCACCGATTGACACAACAAAATTGACTTTATTATGGAAAATATATTATTTTTATCAATTTTAAAAACTATAAACATTTCAAATAACTCTGATAAACAATTATCAACGACATAATATTCAGATTTAGCATGAATGTTACCAGTGATAAAAGCATTGACACTATGAACTTTACTACAAAGAATAATTAATGATAACTTTAAACACTTAACGAAAATTTGAAATGTTGTTTGATCATCATAATGCTAGAAAATAGAAATCTGTCTGTAAGGTAAAGAAGCAAAGTTGTCAATGGTTTGAAACTCCAATAAATCAGCTGTTAGCTTATTACAACATCAAGTTGGCATTCATCACGAGCTGATATCAGTTAGGGAAATTATTAAGAACCTGGGAGTAATGAACGGCTGTTTCGTCCTAGCATGGGATTCCTCAGCAGTGCATATTTATTACCCCACCAGAGATTGAAATCAAGACCTGCAGGTTCCATGGTCAGTATGTTATCATTGAACCACAGAGTCAGAGTCCAATGATCCACTTTTTCCTACTTCTGTCAGTTCGTGATATACAGCGACCACTATCCAGTCTCATTGTTAAGTACCTGTCTTTATGTTTGACTTGGCTGGCTGCAGCGGTCACGACTTTTAAAATATTATCTAACAATACTAAGCTAATTTAACTACAGTATGAAAAGATGAAGGTATTCAAATACAAAAGGCTATAAAGGTACAAGCAGATTTCAATAACAAGTGTTTATCAATTTCACTGATTACTGGAGGCTATAACTAATCGCATCTTGTAGAAGCAGTCAAAATCCCATTGTCGATTAACTGTACCCAAGAGGAATACGACAAGGATGAGTCACTACACGCTACTGTTAAATATTGCAATTGACATTTTTCATTGATTATTTCTTTTATTTTATTGTAAACTACTACGGTTAAAAACTGTTTTACCATAAATCATAACAAGTTTGTATATGTAATGAGTGATTTATGACATCTCTTTTGTTAAGTTCTTTAAATTCAGATATTGAATTCTTTTAAACATGATTAAAATTCATCTATAGTATTGGTTAAGGTAATAAACAGATAAAATGAAACTTACATTCAAATGAACATCCAACCATCGATTAGCAGCATAACGTATAAACTCATGTACACCATTGGCATCTATTAGTCGATCTGATTTCTCAATGAAGTCTTTATCACGTTTAAATGCTCGAACAACAGTTACACCTAATGAAGAGGCTGCAGTTTCACTATAATTTGTCAATAAAGGAGAGCGTGTAGCAGCATCTAATCGACGTGTTTGTCTAACACATGGCATATAAAATATTAGTACAGTTATGCAAAATATAAACAATGGAATAATTATTGCCACTCCAATACCCCAAGGACGTAGAGTGATTGCAACAATTAACAGTGAAATAATAACATCTCCTGCACATCCAATTGTATCACTAAATGAACTCGGTATGGTATGATCTAAATTGTCAATATCATTGCTGAATCGATTCAATATACGACCTAAAGGTGTATGATCAAAAAAGCTGGCTGGTGCATGAAGAATTTTCGTTAAAAGTCGTTGATGTATCAGCTGAAATAATAAATGACATATAGAGTAATTCAGCGACATGCTGAGTAATCTTTTCTGTTTTAATATTTAGCAGATATGAACAAAATAAAAAATGAATTGAATAGATATTCAGAATTAGCAGTAAAATTCAAGAAATTCAGGAATTTGTACAGCTCAAATGGTTTCAGTTTGTCATTTGAACTGCTACAAAGACAGATTAGCAATACTAGACTGTAATAATCATTTCTGCAAACGTGGTATACAGTGAAGTATATACAACAAATTATTGTAGTACAAGTAGTGTTGAACAGCTGCAGAAATCTGAGACCAAAACTTATTTTGATAAAGATAAACAAAATACTATCTAAGCGATGCAATACATATATCATATTTCGATCTGATATTTTATTATCAAAAAACTAAAGTATTTTGAGGCTGATGGGGATTTTAATTTTAAGGTGGTATTCATCACGTACTGATATCAGTTGGAGAACCATTGAAAATCTGGAAGCCCTAGACGGCTATTTTGTCCCAGTATGGCACTTCTCAACAGTGCGCACCCACCACCTGGCTAGCGATCGAACCCAGGACATTCAGGTTTCACGGCGAACACGTTAACCATTCAGCCACTGGGTTCAGTAGTCTGCAATTCTCAACTTCTTTCACTCAGTGATATGATACGACTATCATCCAAGGTCTTCGGCCGGCGTCCACTTTAGTTCTGATTGGTTGACCATACGGGTCACAGCTTCTCATTAGGACTTTAGGATATTCGTCTGGAAGCATCTCACTAATGAGCATTACACGGTATTGTACTTTGACCTTAATAGGGATTTTAATTTTGACGTAGTATTCATCACAGGTAGTGGGTGCGTACTGCCGAGGAGTCGCATATTAGGATGAAACGCCTGTCCAGATCTTCCAGGGTTTCGGTAGTTCTCTAACTGATGTCAGACCATGATGAGCACTACCTCAAAAAAAAAAAAAATAAACAAATAAACATCCAATTCAATCAACTGGAAATCATTCCAGCCAAAGTATTTCGCCTTGCAATATACTGCCAATCTATATGTATGCTTTCTTCGTAAACTGCTTTAACTTAATTCGGATTTGCAGAGTTTCTCGTTTCACTATACTAATTACTGTTTATTTTCACTAACGAATGATTTCAAATGAATCGACAACAAGTTTTCGTTAGACCTTGATATTTATATGCTGTTAGCAGCTAAGAAGAGATTAAGAGAGTAAAATGAATCTTAGTTATGCTATTTACAACGTCATTTTCGCGTTTAACAACTTCACAAAAAGAGATATTTTCATGTAAATCAAAAATACGATAAATGTTATGATAAACTGAATACAATCTAAATTACAAGACCACATCATCAAATTTCAAAGGATAATTAGTTACAAATGACCACAATACGTTTGTATGCATTTTTCGGCTCAGAAGTAGAGCTTTCGTTGTATTCCAATGCAAAAGTCAATGCTAAGAAAGAAAAGTTCAAAAAAGTGGTAGTGGCTAAACTCATTTCTGCTATCAGTATCCTGTTCCCTCTTCTGATTCTTTACTATGACTGTTATTATCATTGTTATTATGCATAGTCATGTTTGTTAGAATTATTCGAAAAGTTATACCGATTATATTATAAAAACGAAGAAGGAATAAATAGTTGAAGAAACTTTTTGAACGCGATCCTTTTCTAATAAGCTTAACGACAACGACTTCATCCATTGGCTAATCACCTGCAAACTGATGAATATCTAGGAGTTACAAGGAAAAGATATAACGATGAGTCCATTTTTGGACAGCTATACTCCTGGTGAGAAAATCATAAAACTCCACTGCAGAGAAAAGACTCAGCCCTAGTGGTATATAAGTCACTCTATTACTGAATGAAAACCCTGAACACATGGTGTATCACAAAGTCAGTAAACTTCTTTCGGGAAACCAATAGAACTTATAGCCCGTAACATTATCCGCATATATAGAGAAATGAAGACATCACTGAATTGTTTAAAGCACAGAAGACGAGATTCGCAGAACACGACTGATTCATTATGTTTCGTATCATTTTCATCAGTTGTGCACAAGCTACTTTTCACTATCACGTTTGAAATCATATTTTTGATGGTAGACGAATATATTATTCATCAACTTTTACGTATGCCGATAGTCGTAAATTCCTCAGAAATACATAATTTTTTTAATTTTTAAGTATATGATGCAAAAGCTAGGATAATTTACTGAATTCATTTCGTTCCGTAACTCTATTCGTTCTTTCTTAGTTCTAAATATCATTTGATAAACTAAGTAAATACAATTTAAAGATACCGCATGAGAGTATGAATTCAAAATGATATACTTACATTTGAAGCTCTAAGACTAGAGTAAGCATTAAACAGTGCGAATGCTAACAACATTGCAGTCTGACCCAATCCAGCCCATGCATAACCTGTAATGTAATACAGTGTTCGATCTTTGATTTGTTCAATAAAGATATGACAGTCGGTATCATTACCGAATTTAGTACAATTTTGAAACCTTTCTCAGCTTCAGTTAATTGTTTATCATCTGCAAACCACTGTAACCAATAGCTACAGAAAGCCTATAAGAGGGAAGCAAATAAATATGAGGAATATGTTAGTTGAAACTGTTTTTATAAATACCACCAATGAAGTTACAAACTATATAGTAATGATGGATAATGACAAGCAGTGGAATCCAGGATGCACATTTCGTCCCATTTGGGACTCATCAGCTGGATGTACCTGCCTCCCAGTGAGTGGTGTTGTTTCCACTGGTATTCGGACTCGGGAGCGATCGCTTCAAATGCAAGAGCTTTATCCACTATTCAATTCGGTCCAATCAACGACGGTGTAATACAAGCAATAACACTAGAAGTTACAAACTGTTTGAAGAAACTCAAAAAAAATCGCATATGTTTTCATAATTTCCAGGTACAAACATTCAAATTCTTGCAAAAAGTATATGCTCATCATGACAACAAGATATCTATCCAGTAACTCATACTAATGTGTATCCACTACAGTAAGGTTAAAAAGTGTAGAAATGAAAGTGTAGAAATCTTCGTCTATGAGAAATTAAGAATAAAATAAAAAATTTAGACACCTGACATTTACGTCAATTAGGGAACAATAGGCATATTTGCTTTTAAAATGTATCCTCTGATGGTCAAAAAAATAAGCCATCCAGAAAAGGAAAATACAATACCACTACGTAACACACTTGTTTCGAGATATTTTCCATAATGATGACTGCTGGAAGTAGCGATACTTTCCTCACCAATCGAAAGTACCTGTATGCAGTACGTAGACAACAACTTGTATAGGGAACGCTATTCAACATACAACAGGAATTCACCATTTTGTGTACCTCAAAAAGAAACTAATATACGCTTACACTATACAACAGTGCCCACTTTACACGTAAATCGAATCCCCAGTAGCCTGATTATTAAACGAAATTCCGCTCAATCTAATTCTCAATAAACATAATTATTCAATTGCATAGATGTATAGGCGTATTAAGTCACTTTGCATTGGTATGACTAATAAAAAACCGTAAAGAAAATGGAAAATGTGTTACCGTGTAAAGAGAAACGCACTTGAATGGCTAAAAATCCTGCATATGATAGAACAGTGATAAGAGTTACAAATACACCACGAGCAACCAGGTAGCACCAATAGGCTGACCATGACACATGACCATGCATAATTTCTTCATCTGTTACAAATTTACCGAGTTCAGGATCTTCATTGTCACACGTAATATCAACTGGTGTGCTTTCAGCTTCATTTATACTGTCAATACTAACTCGATGATGACGATGAGTCACTTGTTGCTCAGGTTGGAAATCAATCAAATCGTCTGTCACCTCACCACCAGTAGTCATCTGAAAAATCTCCATAGAGAAGAAGAGAGTGGGTCATAGAGAATCAAGATCACATGCTATTATGCTTGTGTAACGAGAAAAAGATCCTATACAGAATCAGAATAATGATTTATTCCAAAAAATAAAGGAGCACAATGGTCAACAGACTGGACTAACAGTTAGTTTCCTTAAGTTAAAAATAATTTCATCAGAATTCTAGCAATTGCAACCTAGTGGAATAAATTTTATTTTCACGTACTTAGTTTTTTCAAACCCAATAATGGATATTTGTGAGACATCGTTTGAATAACAGTATAAACCACAATATCTCAAAATAAGGTAAGTGACGATAAATGAAAGAGAAGTAACGATATATTTTTATAGTATTGGTCGAAACATTTACATAAATTCCGTTCCAATATTTGAAAGCAGTTGCTGGTCAATTAAACATGCTCCTGGCAACAAAAAAAATTACTAAAAAGATAGGCAAAATAATTGTTTCCAGTAATAGCCATTTAATATTACATCTCCTTACACCGAATGAACACACATAAACACCAAAGCAAAGTGTAAAGTCGAGTAGGTACTAAATAGTTCACCTGTCAAAAAACTTGCGAAAAAAATCAACAAGTGAAAGAATGATTTTATAAATCTTGCTCAAACGAATATTCAAAAAATGATATGAAGGTTGGTTCCTTTAATTCGTTGTTATATTTTGCCAGTTGGTTGTACGAAAAAAAACCCCGAAAGAAACCATCTTTAAGCACTCCAAATCCTCTATATTCGTGCATTGTTACAGTCAGCTAGGTCAGTTATCCTCAACACTGTACCTGAAATTAAAGTGAAATGTCCCGACTCGCTACACTTAACACCAGCACAACAAGGTAGAACGGTAACATTTCGCAAAACTAGCCCTACCTTAGTAATTATTAGGCGTTGTGGTAAACGATTACTTGGTATGCGTAACAAATGTCCCATCCACCTCGACATAAGTAAACAAATAACTGATAGGTGTCGTATCAAAGTAAATAGAACCACGATGCAGAATAATGTTCTACACAAATCCAATGAGTACCACGCAAACCGACAAGCACATTACTGGCAAATAAGGAAAAGACATTCAAGATAAAAACATAGGTAAAACCATCATTGATTGTCCTAGCCAATCCAAGCATTTTAAAAAGTTCGAGTAAACCATTTAACAACTAGGCAACAACGATTTACAGGTGTGGCCCCATAGTTTGTGTTGAATAAACATGAAGTATACTGGTTGAGATGAATCTTGAGATGAAATAGCTACCATAGTATTGCGTAATAAAGTCAGATGATGTAATCAGTCTAGTAACCGAAATAAATAATGATGTAAAATAAACTCAGTGCATATAAATACGTAATTAGCTTTGAGTCACAAAATGTATGAGGACTGACGCTATTCCTTTAAGTAGGTAGCATGCAACAAGAACCCATAACTTAATATATGTGGATATGTCTGTTTAAACTAATGAGCCACACAGTCCTGCTGATAATTAAATGATCAGCACTAAAACCAGTGACCAATAAAGTTGGCTTACTTTGACTAGAAATGTAGTTTTCATAGGAAAATAATAAAATTGAATTGGTTATTCCAGTAGTCGTTTGGTTGGGACTTACATCACTCTGTCACCACTTATTCTAACTCAAGTGAATACTATTCAAAAACTTAAAGTATCTTTATTGAGGTCAAACTCATTCACATAGTAAACAACTGTTAACAGTGTAAAGTTGCCATATTCAAAATTACCGTTGTACGACCATAAATAGTAGTGCAACACAAATAAAACTCACATCATCATTTTCATGCTTGAGACCAATAACATGTGACGCAGAAGTGAGCTCCATAAATGAAACAGGCATTTCTAACGATAACTTATTTGATGTATTGGTAGGTGGACTTCTAGATAAAATGCTCGTAAGCACCAGATTACTATCAGGCAGAGACGAACTAGGCTAAGTACAAGAATGAAAAAGGCATTAACTCAAATTTCTGCAAAAGTTTCGGTAGGGTAACACCGATAAAATGACACGTGATGAAGATTTCGTGCATTGTATCACATATCAATTTATTGTAAAGAAAAATTGTAAATGAATAATCAGACTTACATGGTTTGCCAATACTTCAAGCAAAATTACTGCTATCGGTGTGATCATGAGCAGTAGTTTTGCTCGAAATGTTATAGAAATTTAAAATATGATCGTGTGTAAACACTCTTTTTTAATCAATTTATAACACTGGTTTTATTTATTAGTGCAGAAATATGACTGAAATCGCTGAAAAAGGAATACATGAAATGTGCAAACAATGGACTTTACTACTAAGCACAATCTTAATTTAGGCTGAAAACAGGATATCGAAATAATCCACTTATAAGCGTAAAGATGGAAATCTACCAGGAACACTCGTGTCAACCTACATTGACCATAATTGAGTTAATAATCAAAATAGCTGCATCTTCACGACTAACACACTGTATTTAGGTTAGAAATGATATTTAACACTCTTTGTAAATAGGTGTACGGCAATAAACGTCAACCTAAGATCCCATATTGTACAACAAGGTATAATGGTCACGATGTTTCCTATGGAGATTTACTTGAGAATCCTTAATGCATTGCATATTATTCCATGACGGCTTCACTGACACAAATCGGTGACTTGAGGCTTAGAAATGTATAGGAAAGGTCTGGTTTGCATTAACTCCTGTCACGTATATACGACATATGCCAAATAGTCAAATTTTGTTCACTTCCGTGAAACATGGCCATATGTTGCAGTGAAGAAATGGGAAACACGATATCACAGTCAGATAAACATAAATCACATAAAAACACCCCAAGAAAACAAATAACAGTCAACTTACAACAGTAACACTAGCTGATCTACCAAAACCAGTTGTAAAAGAACGCTCTTTGGGCGAAGAGGATGGTGACGCTTTGATAATATCTTTGAAAGCAAAAAAGGATCAACGAAATTTGAGAGGCATGAAGACAATTGTTTTAACAAACACATTACATTACCATTTCTGAGGTATCCGTAGTTTGGCAGACTAGTGTAATACTGGATGATGATGGGAAGTGAAATAAAAAAAGTGAGACAATGGCTCTTTATGGCTGAATTTCTGGCTGTTCAGAAGTAGATGGTTGTCTAAGCACAGTTGTAACTGGCGGTCACCGTTATCTGTTCGTTCGGGCATGATTCCGAAATTGTCACCTAATTGTCTTTCTACCTGACTTAGCCTAGCCAGTCGTGCATTGAAATCACCCGGTGTGACAACCTCATCTGAACGTTTTGCTTGAGGTAGGAAACTAGATAATTTTCGACGGAAAATCATCCTTCAATTCATCCGAACTGTAGCAAGTGGGTACGTAAGCAGAGATTGTAAAGATACAACGGTCAGTTATATTATTCTTTTTAATCTTCAGTGAGCAGTTCAGTCGGACAGTGCTTAGACAAGCGACTGTCAGCTGGGATCCAGTTGAGCAGTGAACTTTCTGCCTTAGGAATTAGTGCTATACCGACACCTGAAAGACAATGAGAACTAGAGCGAGTTCGGAGATTCCTGATATTGATCGGGTGAGGTTTAGTGGACAACTGCACTTGGGTGCTGTACGTGTGTCTCACAAACACTGAACACATTCATGGTACAAGATGTTGAGTTTTGACTATTGAAGTTTACTGATTGATTTGACAGAGGGTGTGGACATTGAAAGCTCCAATATGTGGTGTCCAGCACAGTTCCACGAAGCCAGCGATGCCATTCTGCAAACTCAGATAGGTGTCGAGAGCTGAATAGTTAGAAGAAATTAAGTACGACATAGGATTATTGACGGAGAGATGTGGAGGAGGTTTGGAGATTAGGGATTCTGAAGGTGGACAGTGATATGAAGGAAGTGGAGAGTTTCAACGGCGGTTGATACTTCCCGGTTGCCTACATAGTGGAAGGTTCAGGCATTTAGGGGGAGGTTAACGTGTAACCAACACATCCACGATCTGAAAAAAAGCCAGCCTGCCCTCGTAGCTCATCTCCTCATGCGTTTCCCACAACTTGGGAAGTATGATAGCAGGTAACACTTTAGATGATATCAGCACGACAGTGATACCTCAATGATTGTTACACATATTCCACAGACTTAATAAAGATAAGTACGAAACTGGCTTCATTCCAGAGTTACGGAACACCCTCAGCTTGCCATACGTTCCCAGTCAATAAAGTCAATTTCATGACTACAATCTCACTTCACCCGCAAAATCAGCCGATGTAAGTTATCCATGCTGGATGGTGCATAGCACTTTTGAACTTGGATTTTATTACAGACCTCAGCTACTCTAGGTGGATCGATGTTAACTGATCACAGACCACAAGACAATGAAGTTGATTTCAATACGACAGTGAACCAGTCAAAATACTCTGCAAAGTGTTTCCAGATATTTATGTCAATTGGTGATCGATGTACCGTCTACTTGATAGATCGTCTTACTGACACCAGACTCTTCTTGCTGTCAGTGGCTCAGATGAGCTCAAACAAACTCTGGCTATTTTCAGGTGAAATCGTTTCCTTCGTCTCACAATCACACGTTCTGACTACCAAGCCTCGCGGTCCTTGTGTACATACTGTTTGATCTGTCCAGTAAGGTGCTAATACATACTATTATAGTTGTTGCCTGCCGGAATACACTAACAAGCATCAAGAATTGGCAAGGAGTTTGCAGAAACCTAGTGTTTAGTAACAAGACTTTCGAAGTCACATGCAGCAAATACACACAAAAATCAAACCTCTCTTGAAAAATTAATTCAGTTTACATTTCCTCTTGGTGAAACTATAACAATATACGTACAGTTTCTAAAATTCCTATGTTGATATTAGGCGATAGTAGACAGTATTAAGGACTTATCAATGAAACTGGAGTGAAAACGTAATTGATTGTTAATGAGACTTAAGTAGAGAAAGATGGCTTCGAAATCCACTCTGAGTGGAAATGTCTGTTAAACTGAATGTGCTGTTAAATGGTGACATTTGGCTTCGTCGATTAAGAGGTCTCAACGAAATGGACACTTGATAATTCCACCATTCTATTAAATGCATATTATTCGAACACCAACAGGCGTAACAGAGACTGTGGTGAGACATTAAATAAGTTGTATACACCAAGAATTATTTAGCAGTCTTCCACTCTCTACACTGTTGCTTAACTCTGACATAGACGTGTTTGCTTACGTTCTCCTCCTTCTCCTATAACTGTGAAGGAATTCACCTTCTCATGGTGGTCAATTTGACAGACAGATGACATAAGTCCTGTTAGGTGATGCTGACAAGTTATAAAGATCTTCTCGACACTAAGTGTGATAAATTTAGGATGTTTCTTTTGTATTTTTCACACCACCCAAATGCTAACTGTTGCTCCATAATGGGCTTGCATTGGTGCTTCGTCTAACTATATTAAGTGAAGTAGTTGAGTACGTTAACGATTCACTTACCAGAGAAGTTGAATCAACCCTGGTGGGTCAGTGATCAAAGAAATCTCTACACGGATACAATAGGCTCCTTTGGCCTTTGTCAACTTATACCATCTACGGTGCCAGAGGGATATTCAGTTGACAGTTTAGAGTCGTGTACTGTGCAACAATTCACGCTCCTACTCCATGGCTCCGCAACATGGCCAACAAAGGTAGAAGACATAACCCACCATAGTCTTCATAGCAGTAGTGAGGTATAGTAGAAACTGTCAGGTTAATAATGCATAGGTTAGATGTTGAGTCTTAGGCAAAACACGTAAGTCAGCTACTGAGGTCATAAACCACCACAGACTTAAATGACTGGGATGTCATAAGCATGCCTAGTCACAGTCTACCCCATCGTATAATCTGACCAGAAGTAAATCTAGGTAGGTAAATAAGTGAAAAGAATCAGACTAAAACACGGAGCCAGTCCATAAAGTTTTTGACTTAGTAGTGTAGGGAAATGACGACTTTAAGCTAGGGTGCAAGTAACAAATGAAATCATTGGTCGCAGACTGTATGTAACTTGGCTAACAATCAATCTGTGGTACAAACGCACTTATACATGATCTACATGCTAACTGTTACATCGCATTCCGTTATTGTTTCACCTCCTCATCCCTTTTCTTTTAACTTCCCATAACTATTGATCACATTTGTTCTTAACTCTGCATTTTTCATCTCTCTTGTTGCATTGCGATATGAGGTGTGGTAACTTCAACCGTCACGCAGTAATGTCAAGTCCTATGTTGATACTGACAAACTAAATGCATATTCAAATCCTTCTTAACAATCCTATTACCTTTCTGATCAATTCTGGTTGAGTTCAGCAATTCCATAGTTTAAAATTCAGCATGAAATTACTAATGATCGTATTTTGACTGATTTCAATACATTCGATGAGCTGATATTAAGTTTGACAAACTGTATCAATAAGCAATCATGCCAAGTCAATTGTTTTTGATGATTATCTGTTGAAATTTTTCATCAAACAAAAACGAACAAAGCATGGATCGCAACAGGTTTAGTAAACTTCATCACAGACTGAATGTGACTATTCAAAAACAAACTCCAGAGGTTAACTAGATTTTCCATAGCATCCTCCTGTTTGCATCAGTATTACAAAAAAAGAAGAATGAAAAACAGGGAAAATCAAGAGAGAGAAAAAAGACTTTCAGAAGTAGTTATCTAGAAACACGTGCTTGTCAGAATAAAATTACAACAACTTCAGATAACCTATACGATACATTATATATATTATATATACAATAGCCAACATTTTACTAAATCCACTTATATTGGCAGACGTGAAAACACTTATTTAAAGCAACTGGTTCCTTTGACAAATTTAAACAGCGTAATGAGAAGACGAAGATTATCTGAAACATATGATGTATTAGAGCTATACATTTCGAACAATCTGATCACACATGGACTTGTCGAACTATTTATGTGAAAATTTTACGAAAAGGTCAACGAAGTTAATAAATAGGAAGGGAGAGAAAAAGAAAAAAAAACCTTACTCTTGATATGAAATTAAAATCAATACTAACTAGGTAGGTTCAACGTGAGTACAAATTGTTTTTGTAAACATAAAGGGGGCAAGAGCTTCCGATAAATTTAAGCACTCGGCTCTGATCACTTTTGTGTACTACTTTAAAGGTTGTTTTCATATCTATCCTACGGTTAGTTTCCAGTAAATGTTTAGTGATAGACGAAGATGGATGTTTGTCACCTGCACTTATCGGATCTGCTGTAGTCATTTATTGACAGTTTTTATAAATAAAAGTAAAATATATAACACATATTCTACAAATACACACATATCTTGACCATCTTATATATTCGTTGACAAATGACAATAATAACAACCATGAACTTGTAATGACTTAATCTTTAATACTCAGGTTGGACATGAAAATCATCCAAACAATAACCTACGTTCACTAAATATATTTGATGTATCATTTGACTACATATCTTGATGTTAATAACAGGAGTAAGACAAGACTGCCTACTATCACCCATAATCTTCCTGATTGTCGTGGACTCGACTGGACTCGACTGGATTATGCAGCAGATAACTGTGAGGAGCGAGAAGATGGGCATACGCTGGCTGGACCGATGAAAAGACCCCACGAAGAAGATTTGGATTGCGCCGATGATGATGATGATGATTTACGCCTGATGTCTTGTTGCACAAAATCGAAGATCTACAGATGAAAGCTAACAAGTTGACAAAAGAAGCAGGGCAGCGAAGACGGGACTCCCTTCAGGTGAATGTAGAGAAGATGGAGGTGATGAACATACCCAACCAACAACACCAATCATCATCAACGGGAGAAACCTAAACGAAGTAGTCTCTTTCACCTACCACTCTGCCTAGGCACCATCGTTTCAACTACACGTGGCACAGACAAAAATGTCAAAACCAGGATCGGAAAGACACCAAGACAGGCTTTCATTAATCTAAAACCAGTGTGCAGATCTACTGCACTCCACTCAGCATAAAGAACAACATCCGGATATTCAACACTAATTCAGTCAAGTAAGTCAGTGCTTCTATGTGATGCTTCAGAAACTTGGCGCGTCACGCAAACCACTTCCAACAAACTACAGACATTCATCAACAGATGACACCTACGCTCACTCGATACTGACACTGAAGATCAGATGGCCAGAATAATAAGAATAAGCAACAAGGAACTCACTCTGGCTGTCAATGAACCAACCAAGAATCCATCACCCAACAAATATGCAGAAGAAAGTGGAGATGCATCGGATTGGATAGGGCATACACTGAGAAGGCCGACTGGGAGGGAGCATTATGCACCAGGCCAGTTGCTTGAGTGGAACCCAGAGGGGGGAACGATGAGTTGGGCATTCCAGGTGAGGGTGACATGGAGGAGATCATGTGAGGAAGAAACAAAAGCTTGTGGGCAGTCGTGGAGCCAGGTTGAAAAGACTGCAGAGAACAGAGTGCAATGGAGGTGTGCCACTGAATCCCTATGTTCCACTAGGAACCCAAGGGATAAATAATAATAATAATAAATCTGTATATTCTGCTGAAGCTGTGGCTTACACAGCGAAACGTTCGGAAATATCTTATTTTGATTCCTAAACACTCTGGGATTATATTAAAATATATTCTTATAATGATTCAATCAGACTCGGCGCTCAACTTCTTCCAGGACATTCGTAACAACTATGATCTGGATGTTTATAATGATCAAGAAAGCGTAGGAAGAAATGTAATTCATGTATCACAACGTACCTGATTTATCCGATATTCTTTCTTTCTCAATCATGTGAAGATAATCAGCAAAGTGGCCAAATTCGCTGTTTACAACCTCCTAGGAAGACAAAAAAAGCTTTAGACGTCCGACTACGTGAGGGAACAATCTGTATTATCTTTCATACACAAAGAATACATCTGGTTAAAACGACTAGCACCACTGAAACCAATTACAACACAGAACTAAATAATATGCAAAGTTTAGTTGGACAGTGCCTTACAATTAATACACAAAGGGATCTAGAAAAACAAACGCTAAGATAATAAATACTTGATAGCTACTCTATATGCAGATAAAAGTATACGTTTTAATCGCTGAACATAGAGAAGACAGAAATTGAGACAACTGAATAAATCGATAATTTGAAAGTTTTCAATGGGATAAATAACAGCCTACAAATAAGTTTGCTAGGCTTTAAGATCACGTGTACGACATAAAAATCAATGACTACTGAAATCGGCCAACAATCATAGACTAGAAAGGACCAAGAAAAAAAAAAATTTGTATCAATGTTATCGGTAACATCCGCCACTACATTTCTAAATTCAAAGTCAAGAGCTGTATAATTAGTTGCCACTTCTTTCTTTGGCAACGATGAAGCGGCAGTCAAAAAAGGGATATGCAAGACTCGTCCAACGAATTCTTTTGTAAGATATTGGTGTTCTTATCTAGTTATTTTAACAAAAGTAACAGCAGTAACACAAGTAGATTGACAGTATTAGGTAACAAGAGTTCTTCAAAGCAGAGGTAATAAAACACCAACAATCTGTTCTCAGAAAAGTGTTAACTGAAAGCGTTTAAGTAAAAAATATATTCAAGAGCATTATGACACCTTCTGCTTCATATACTTTAACTAATCGAGTAGAAAATCAACGCAGAAGATCACATAGAGGACGATGATCAACACAGTATCTTCAGGCGATCCCTTAATCAAAGATACACTTCAATTAGAGGAAATGAAAAATGGAAGGTTGTTAAAATGGACAGAAAGGCAGTTGATTGGTTAATATTCTCCGTGAGAATACGGAGCAAATATTCGTCTTAGACCTTAATCAAAGGTCATGTCATAAGTATTTTATTAGTTAATTATTGATCAATCTGAGATGATTTCTCAGTACTAAACCTGGCAGGTATTGGTCCAGGCGAACAACTATATAAACGGTTATATATTCAGCTAGTTTTCACCTTTCATGGAGCAACGTATATATTGCCTTCGCAGTAATGTATTTGGCGTTTTTCAGCAGTGTAAGGAAAGTATTCCAGTAATCAGTATCCATGGTCGTATGCCAAAATGTAGCGAGGGTTTGAAGACAATTCGTAATCAGTAACCATTATAGTGTGGAATAAGATTAAGATAACCTTGAAAAAAGGCTTAAATTCCTGAAACTTTCTATAACCAATTACCTTCTATAGAAGTTTCGAGAAAAAGTACACGAACCAACGTGTAAATATCAGATTGGTTGAAGGGACGAGAATAGATAAGACATTCAAATCCAGAAAGACCTAAATCAATCCGCATATAAAAGCAGAAGAAGTACTCTGGATGACACCACAGTCTCATATCACAATATTGCTTTTAATCCTGACAGAAAGGCCAAGTATGTCAGCTGAGTCTATTTAAACTACACTTCGGCATTTGATTCTGTTCTAAGACCTCTTTTTCTGGACAAGCTACACGGGACTAACACTCAGTCTCGGAAAATTAGCTGGTTGTATTCCTATTCCTATAAAATATAAAAACATACTCTTCATAAAAGGAAGCCCTCCACCTCATTGTCAACTCTGACTGGTGCACCTCAAGAAATCATACCTTCAACCTGTCTCTTCTCTTTCTTTATACATGACCTACCTACCATACTAAACAAGTATCAATCCCATCAAATATCCTCATGACCTACCTAACAGTTCCCATACCTGTCTCCTCTTCAACAGATCCTTCTCAACTCAATGATCTCCGATCGAATCTCTACTGTTACACCATGGTCCTCCACAAATGGTCTTTTCCTTAATTCTTCAAAATATCAGACTATAAACTTCAGTTTTAGACGTGAACATAACCTATGCAAACTGCTCACTTCACATGATTCCTGTTCTATTGATAGTTGTGCACTAGAAAATGTTACAAGCGTGATTTATCTCTGCGTGTGTGTGCATGTGTTTGCCTTCGGACCACATTTCCTCGTCCTCCCATATCTTACTCATCTCCATATAAGGAACCTCAGAGTATCTGCTATCACTCAACATCTCAACTCATGTTTTATAAACTCAAGCATCTTGCCTACCCTCCTTTACTCTTTCACCGGTTGTTGAAAAAAACTATGCTATTTTGCGTACAACTTGAAGATTGTCACCACAACTACTGCTCTACCTCTAAACCTCATAGTTAAAACAGTTGTGGACAAACATGTTAGTTAACTCATGTAGACATCTGCTAGGAGTTATTTCATCAAATGACTACCATCATCTTCACTCAAAGCGCTCTATGTGTCGGTCATCTTGAAAAACAAGGAGCAAATAAATAAGACTTTATGCACAAACTACTAAATATAAAAACTCTACAATACCGTATTTACCTCGTATCCTGTGCAATGATGAAGAAAGTGTCAAAAATGAACTAACTAGTCAATTTCTGTTCTTGAAAGTAAATCAACTGATAAGTACACAGCATGTTACTATTTATATATGTCATACATCTAATTGGTAATGTGATCGTCTACCTAAATTAACTATGCACTTTCAAGAAAGTTGTAGACAGAGTGAATATTCTTATCTTTCTTATGCGATTTATACTTGTTTCATTTTGCTATATATACATGAACACTGTTTCTGTCCAACTGATGCTATATAACAACATGCAGGAAACTCAGTAAAGTATTCCCAAAATAACTTTCAGAATAAAACCATTATTACTATTATTATTGAAACAGCCAAGACCCTTGTATATCACGTAAAACCCTTTTATTTTGTACTTATTTTTGACGTTGCAATACACCTTCTGATACGGTATCACTTTTTTCATTTATCGAAAAACTGAGCAAACATCAACGGTTGGAATCTGACGGTTATTGTTCAAGCGTATATATATATATATATATATATATATATATATATATATATATATATATATATATATATGATTATAAAAGTAGCCCATCAGTTAAGAGAAATTCACGATCGAACGTTATTCGGTCACTGCCTTTTCATGCAATCAATATGCAGTTCTGCATCTATAACAACTTGATACGGAAGATAGCTACAACTATTTCAGATGGTTCAGTGTTATGAGTAGACAAAAGGATGTCACCGATGAAAATTAACGAGATATATTGATGAATAACAAAAATAGAACTGTGGCTGATAAGTAAGAATCAAGCAGTTCGATACCAAACTTTAAAAAGTGTAGATTTAACTTGTCATATGATGACTGGAAGAAGATTTCACTTGTTTGTCGGAGAATCTATGAGAAATGTATTTGGTATAATTCATTTCATAGCCTAACTATCAAAACCGCCTGCATCATTCTCGTGACTTACAGCCACGAGAATAAGGTATATTTTTCGTGGCCCATCGCTCTTGGATGTCTCTAAATTCAATTGATATTTCATTTTATGGAAAAACAAGGGAGTTTCTACGTCAACTAACAAACAGGAATTTATCTACTTGGGAATACTTCAAACCATTTCTTCCACGCCTAGAGGTAAGCGTCGGAATACAAAGTTCACCATTTAAGTCATATAGAGGAGCTATCTAGAACCCATTCGACGAAGTAAATCTCATTGGTCCACATACTCTTACGGAGTAAATAATTTGACAGAAAACAAAAAAGATATGCTACACTAGTGAAGCTGTAGAAATAAATTATCTTCACAGCAATTAACTCACATCATAAGTCCCAGATTGGGTAATTTTACCATTTTTGTCGAGAACAATGATCAAATCAGCTGAACTGAGCCAATGAAATGAATTTGTAGTAATGACTCGAGTTTTATCTCTCAATAGGCCTTTCGGACCAAGAACTTGATCGAATAAATGTTTACCAACGTGAGTATCCACTGCCGATAATGGATCATCCAATAGATATATATCTGAACGCTGTCAAGAAAACAGAGCAGAAAAATAGTAACTGCTATGAGCATACATAGTATGGCGAATAAACAAGTGTGGTCATATACAAGAAAACAAATCCAAGATATTTGGTGGGTAAAAAGGATTTTCCCTAAGCTTCCATAATCGACAGAACCGTTAATTTTACCGAAATGACGATTAAATTCCTTTAACCAACAACAAGAAACATTTGTATGTGGAAACCGAGACAGTCACTGATATCTACGGATACCACAAAACAATTCACATTTGAGTCTTGTTTTAAAACATTTCATGTCAAGCATAGATTACATTCAGTTGGAGTGTGTAAATCTCGTAATCTAGATAATGAGTGAAATTTGAAACAACTAGTCCCTTTTATGAATTTGGTTAACATAATTAGATAATGTAGATTATCTAAAAATTGTGATGTATTTGGGCTATACATTTTGAAAAATCTCATCACATGTATTATCAAATTTAATCTGCTTTTTCATTTCATTATCTCTCTTATTATTGAATTCTTTCATGTCATACTTCTCCTTCTCGAACTTCAGTTTTTCATACATAATGCATTTACAAGTAAATGTGTAATCAGATTGTTCAAAATGTATAGCGCAAATATATCACATTGTTTAGATAATCTATGTCTTCTAACTACGTCATCTAAAATAAGTGAAATAACTAAAAATGGATAGGCAATTTTTTGAATTGACTTAGTCCATGTACGTGGTTTACGTAATATCCAATGATTGCTATTATCCAACAAATCTATTGTAAAACACAGATCCTCAAAATGAACACTATCACTGCTTTTCTTGTGATTAAATTTATATGCCTTCAGGAAACTTGAAAAGCTTAAATAAAAAATTTGTGTCCAATCTCATTGTACATAAAACAATGAAAAAAGCATTACTCTGCCAACTCACGACCGAATGTTCAGGAGTAAACAAGCGAATTACTTTATTTATTTCCAATAGACCCTTTCTATCACCGATATGAAAGAGTTATGGAAAAACATAATATACTATTGGAAAACATGACAGGCTAGAATCCATTTAACTGATTTATAAATCCAACTGGTCAAATCAAAATGACACAAACACCGAATATTTGTCTTAAGAAAGTAGAACAACCACAGTGCTGAGATCAACTCAATCTAAATCTTTACCTTACACAAACTGACATAAAATCAAATGGATGATTAGTTAGTAATGTCTCAAAACTCCAAAATAATAATCGAACTGCTCCACAGCTGACTGGTTTTCCAGTTCAGTGACGTTTATTCTTCCAGGTATACTTCTGGAGAACTGACAACAAAAGGGCATGAAATAATTGTCTAAAACTGAGATCATCATGGTGGATAGTATTTTGGTTGTATTGTGCTCTCTGAGCTGGGTTGTTTAATCGTGAAGCTTTCATCATCCTTCTAGATGACATCATCAGCACTAACTTCATACTTGGTAAATGTAACAACCAAGTGAAAATTCAGAGCTTCTTTCACTGTCTTTGCAACTATTCGACATTGAGTGGAACTAATAGAAACTGCATATACCTAAGTCCAATGGATATCATAGTTCAGGAACGACTGAAAGTATGAGAAAACTGATTCCATACCTTCGACTTGGTTATCATTGAATCACAATCATCATTTAACCTACCTGCTAAGGAAATCTCTGATTGCTTGTTTCACCGCTTGCATAACAATCAAATGTTTTATAATTCATGTGGACTCTCATTTCCAGTCTTACAAATTCCCCACCTAATTTCGACTACGCTACTAGCAACACATACATATACCTGATTATATAAACCACAGGATTAGTTCACATCAACTCTGACTTTAATTGTAGGCACTGAGATGGTGAAATGAGTCGAATACTTGGCAACAATGTTTGAGATGTAGTTATGAAAAACAAACAAACTTCATAAAATCCAAAGACATCATCTAAATACTATTAAGTTCATAGTGTTTCGATCTGTATATAACGCTAAAATATACTATTATACTTAGAAAAGGTACGAGAAAGATTTTTCTGAAAGGTAGCACTATGAGCTTGAAATAACTTTCTGCTTGTTTAAGGGATTAATGTGGAGAAAAATTCGATATGATAAAGGCCACGAGAGTTTTGTCAATTATCACCTACAGATAGTATTGACAAAAACGTGAGAGTTTTGACTAACTGTAGTGACAACTCAACCTTGGTAAAAGAAAATACTTCGATTCAAGACTACTATTATCATCAACATTGTTATAACTAACATCGATTTGTATTAGAGCACCTTTAAAAATAACAAATTCCAGGCGGTTTACAATTAAACCTTTGTAAATATATAAAGCATAATTATTAGATTGAAAAACTGAGTCTTCAATGAACTATGGTAAATACACAGTTTAGGAAAATCCAAACACCTACTTCCTACAGCTTAAAATGATGGTGAAAAATGTGATAGTGAGTAATATTACCAAGTGTTTTAGAAACCTATATGATGAAATAAAAGGAATTAAAACATAATGAAAGAGGATGAAATAGCTAAGATAAGGTTTATATGCACAAACATCACCGAAATAGATTCAATTCATGAAGGTCTACAACCTAAAAAAATAATCCAATTATTTTACCGTAAATCAACGATTAACAGTATGCGGGAAATGTTATTAAAATCAATCGGTTGAATCCTTCTTATGCTCTTCAGTTATAATGGCCATGTGTCGCATCCATATAATAAAAAGAAAGAGCAAACTGCTGTGTTGTAAACTAGACACTTTTTAATGATGTCGTAGGTAAGCACAATTGTAAGTCTATGTTTCATAAGTAATTGGTCAACCAAGGTTGACCTGATTTCTTACGTAAATAAAGTGGTCAACGCGACAAACGAGTGCATTTCCCATCATATAATGATGATCAGTCTTGAGTAAAAGAAACCGCAATTCAAAGATAAGAAGTGCATTCCAAACATTCAGAGGTTCCTGAGGCTTCTAGCTAGTATCACTTCAGTCACCAGCACCACTTCATACGAATATGTCATTAGCGTAATCCAAGTCAACTACGCTTTCTGCTACTTTTAAATCAGTTTCTGTGCTCGACCATCCAAAGGAAAGTCTGCCAGGAAGTCTACCAGATTTTCTAGAACTCACCGTTCTCGAATCGAACTTAAGTTAGACTTCGTATGATGACTGAACTCAGAATCTTAGATCCTATGTTGGTTTAACCTCTGATTCTTAAACACGAACAAGTACCCTAGTTAACCAACTAATCTAGGTACAACCTCCCTAAATACACAGTATGCTAGCCATCGAAGTCTTTTGTGCTTCGTCGTTTCAGATAAGTAACAGTCTTTCTGGCTTCAGTATAATTTGACGACTCATGTCGATTCAGTCAGAAATCTGGATACTGAACAACTAAACGTCAGCTGAACTGTTACTAAGATGTTCCACTCATTCTCCTAGTCGCCTCTCTTATCAGTGGACCGCTATTCATCTATCTCACCAATAGTTTCATTCATCACAAACATCTTGATAACAATTCCTGTAAAAAAATGTTAAAAATTAACTATTATAATTACTTGCCCCTAATATTTTCTTCCGTTTTTCCGCTTTTACCACTCACTGCTGCTCATTCGCTTTGCATGGACTCTTTCAAATTTCTAGAGGAAATCTTGAAAGGAGTAATGTACGTTCGAATTTGTAATTCTCCTTTTATTTGCAGATACACCTCGCTAACGAACCCCAAAATGCACAAACACCTCGGTCAAACACTCCCTATCGACTAATTCCAAACAACTAGCAAGAAACATACGGATTGTTCAACCTATTATATTATCCAGAAAGTGTAAATAAATTTCAGTGTACAATATATGTTCATATTGACCGCTCATAGGTTTCGTAACATAAATCTAGCCTCATAGTATCTACTTAAGCTCGTGGAAACTATGCACATTATCAAAAGTCAAGTTTAGCTTGCAGGTCAATGTGCTACTTCACTAAAAAGCTTTGTAGACCCCCTTGCGTGCATTGAATCCTCTGTCCTATACATGACAACAATCATCATGGTTATAATCAACTAACTGAAAAACGTAAATCCATCTGGCTACTCTACACTGAAGAGTGCGCACTACCACCTATTAAAAAGGCTGTAGAACAGATAGGTACATAAGTACACTGCTTATGCAAAAAAATAACCGACGACTGACAACGATAGAAAGATATACAGGTTTAACGTCAAGAAATATCAATATAGACAGACTTTTAGATAAGTTCCAATAAAAACATCAATTAATGGACACAAATGAGATGATAAGTTGTTGAGAAGAGATATCTGATTCAAACAGCTGGATGATTTTTCTGAATAATGTCCTAGGAACTGTTCAGACAATGAATAAAATGGATGAAACGTTGAAGTAGAAGACAAAACAACTCATCAAAAGAGGATATGTTATTTTCACGTTTATAAACGCATATGAACAAATGAATGCAGAAATCCTTACTACCTACCTGATATACAGCTCTAGCCAAGCTTACACGCTGCTTTTGACCTCCAGATAAGTTGACACCTTTCTCTCCAATCTCTGTTTTATCACCAGCGGGAAGATGAGCTATATCAGTTTCAAGAGCACAAGCTGAAACAACACTTTTATACCATAATTCTTCCATCTGTTCTGCAACTGGATTCGATTGAGTTTCAGCGGATGTGTGAAAACGAATATTGTCTCGTAGTGACTGCTGCTGTATCCAGGCTGTTTGTGACACGTAAGCAATTGAACCCTGATAACAGTAGACATCCGTAAGAAATTAGTTTCTGTTAAATTAAGCTTTGAAAAGGATCACATTTTTGTAACTTCAGTGATGCAAACAATTTTGGGGTCAAAGATCACCGATATACTCTTGCAGTACTTGTTACTGATGAAGTAACTCAAATTGACACCCTACAGCGCCCTACCTCACGTCGCGCTATGCATCAAATTGACACGGGTAGAAAACTCTGGACCAGTGAACTTAGACCCAGTGACTCTGTGGTAACGTGCTCACTGCTAAAGTTGAAAGTCTTCAGTGCACACTGCTGACGAGTCCCATACTAGCAGGAAACAGCCTTTTAGTGCTTCCAGGTTTTCAATGGTTCTCCAACTGATATCAGTCTGTGATGAATTTTACCCTGAAATCAAAAAAATCCCTACAAACTTCAAACTAACATACATATATAACGGGTTCGGTCAAAATTGACCTTTGTCATAGCTATAACATTTTGGGTAACTGGTAATAGGCACCACTTTATTGTAAGAATACTAGGATTCTTCCTGATATTTGAAACTGTTCCCATCAAATGTCACTTTCCTGTACACACCTGATGGCTGATATTCCCCTCTATGAATTCAATTAGACTCACAGGACTACCCATTCGTCACATTTGATGGCGTTCTTATGTCCAACTGCATGTACAATACGGTATCAGGTTGTTAAAACAAAACGGAAACAATTCAGTAGCAAAAAACACCGATGTAAATAATTCTCAGAAAAAAGTAAAGTGTCTGTTTATCATTAGAAAACCTGATGGAGATAATTATGATGCAAGCATACATATGTGCATACTAACTTTTACAGAGATTGATCCACTTCGTTTAAACATATCGAAAAGACAGGCGGAAAGAAAAGATGATTTTCCAGAGCCAACACTACCCACAATAGCGACAAGCCATCCACGAGAGATGTGGACATTTAAGCTATTTATGAAAAAGGAAGTAATAAGAAAGTTTTCATCATAATGTACTAGTGAATTGTGAAATCAAATATCGATCACGATGAGAGTTCAATGATTCTTAGATTTACCAATATTTTATTGAACAGACTTATCTTTTTGAGTAGACAAACTACAAATTCATCCCAACTATCAAGCAACGATTCATGACCTAGCCTAAGCCTCTCATAGATATAAATATACGTTTGTGAAGGAAAATATTTTTGTTCTAATAATTCATAATCCATTTTGTATAACCGCAACATGTTTTATACGTAAGATTTGTTAATAGTTCGTATGGTTTAGAAAACTACTGCAACTGTGAGTAATCCGCAGCTGATGTTGATCTATGAAATAATACATTGTTTTATTCTGACAACCCAATCTTCCTTGTATTGTCTAAGTGTATTAAGTGGGCCAAATGTAAGAAATTCAATCGTTTAAAGGCACGAGTTCTGACTTCCACACTTGAAAGCAACTTTTTGACTCAACTATCGATATATAACTTTTAATAATACACCCAGTCGGGTAGTTTAAACCTCCCTAGACGGCTAAAATCAACAGTCAGAAACTTCACCGACTGGTGACATGTTTTGGTCTGTCCACTATTAATATAGTAGTGGATTTGTGGAAGTTTAACCGAATAAAGAAAAACACTCAAAAATGGAGGTCACTGGTCCAGATTTGCATTTAACCTTCAATCAACATCCCGTATCAATAAAGCAGGTCTGCCCAACCACAGCTATCTCAGATGGTCGAACTGATAAAAAAAAATGGTAAAAATGATATCACAAACTGAAACAGAGTGTACCCTACATACATCAAGGCAATAGATGCAGTTGAAGTTCGAGAAATATGTGCACCTAGCCACATCGAATAATAAGAGTCCTTCACACAATATATACATGTTCAGAAAATCAAAACAAGATATTTCTGCCCGTCGCTAATTTTAAATCATGCCTTCGTTAGAAAAATACCTCGTGATTCATTCGGAAATTAAAATGTTAGAATAGTGAAGAAAGTGATTCTGCTCATAGTTACTTGATTATGCGTTTGTCATTTTGTTGCCAGAAAACTTTTAACAATGTCAGCCTAATTAATCGCCTGTGTAGATATGCGTTGTTAGAAGTATTCATACTTTAGGTACTTAAATACATACACACTTGAATAAAGTCAAAAAGTGCAGGCCATCTGCACCTTTATCAAGTTCAAGTGAAAACAACAAAATGAATGTATTAGTGTTATTGCTTGTATTATACCGTCATTGATTGGACCGAATTGATCGGTCTCTACTGACATATGGACTGCTGCGCGGATGCCTCGATATAGCCTGTGATCTTAATTATATAGTATTGATGGATAGTAGCTAGGAGTTCAGTCCAAGATGCGCAGATGCCAATGAAGATCGATCAATTCGGTCCAATCAACGACGGCATAATACAAGTAATAACACTAAAACTATACCCGTCGTACAAGAATTTGCTATCGTGGCTCGGGGTGTAGTGGATAACGCTCTGGAGTTTAAAGCGATAGCTCCCAATTCCGAATCCCGGTGGAAACAACATCACTCACTGGGAGGCAGGTACATCCAGCTGATGAGTCCCAAATAGGACGACATGCGCACCCTGGATTCCGCTGCTAGCCACTATCCATCATTACTATCAAATGAATGTATGTCTGACTTACCAACCATAATCAATAAGCACAAAACAAAATGACAATATCATAACAATAGTGAAATAAGTTAACTGCTTTTGTACCAATCGAACCTGAGTACTTTTCAAAAATCCTTCTCAAAAGGGCGGAGTTTATAGGGTGAAACGTTTTGCGGAATGTTTTTTATTTTCTAAACATTCTTCAACTAATTAGTGATGGTTAGTGACTACTAGTGGAATCCAGAATGCGCGTTTTGTCCAGTTTGGAACCCGTCAACTAGATGTATCCGCCCTCCCTCCAATGAGCGACGTTGTTCTCGAACAATAGAAGTAACGAAATTCTCCAACTAAGAAGGAAAATTCTCGTAACATCCCAAATCAGCCCACAGTAAAGAAAAGTGTAACAAAGACGACTTTAAAATGCTGCATATCCACGGGATATTATTATTTTAGATTAAATCTAAAGGTAATGCGGATAGTCCACTTAACGTTCATTGATAGGAATAAATATAAAACAAAAACCCAAAATAATAAAGTCATCGAGTGTATATATACAAACTCAAAGTGAACTAGCTGCTTTACAAGCGATGCTAAGTAAACATAATTCTTCTTAGGTAACCTAACAAATTATGGCACTGCATTTATAGTCATGATACGGAGATTGTTGTGACGAATTATTTTTCTCTAAACTCATGCTTTCTAAAGGTTTAAAGCAGACATAGGACAAGTTTGCCTCAGTTCTTAAATGTTCTTTAGTCATTATTCCTCAAGTATGAGACAAACAAAACTTATGAAGCATGTTAATCTTGCACCATACTAGGCGATTTTTACCTCAAAACTACCAGAAAACTCAGCTTTACGACTATCAGACAAAAAGACAAGTAAACTCAATGTAGATCCTTGCACACAACTGCGTCGGTTCAAGTTACCACACTTCAAAGTAATATACACAGAACAAGTGGACAGGAAAGACTGACATTAAGTAGACTAAGGTATATCAGGGAAGAGGAAATTCATAAATTAAGGTAAGTCAAAACATCTGGGTTCCAAAAGACGTCTAACAGTGAATGAATCTACACCACTGTGACCGATTTTCAACCTTGCCACTGACAGTCCTCAACCACTGAATTCTATCGTCTCAGGAACCCCAAACAGGTAGTTTGCACCTCCCTAAACGGCTAAAGCCAACAGTCAGAAACACCATTTAGCACATTGTGCTACATCTTGGTCTGGCGACTATGAACCCCATTCCAACACAACCTAACTTCTACCATGACATTTCGAGATAAGCAATGGCTCGACATCAACAACACATGTTCACGCTTCATCATTCGCTGATGGTTGACAACCTCGTCAATTGACTAACCTTCTTTGCATGGAGTACCCGCCGCTGACTAACATTGCGATTCAACCATATGAGAGCAATACTATGAATACGTCTGTGGTTAAAAACTCCAAGCTAATCATATCTTTCACCTTCAACGACCAAGTCTATCAGCCGCATAACAGGACAGTAAGGACCACAGAATTACCACAGAACACAAGCCCTCTGCCAAAAGCAGTAGTCCTGAATCCCATAAAACTGCTGGAATACGGGAAAGCAGCAGGACAAAATGGAACTCCACCAGAGGCACTGAAAACAGACGCAGAGACAACAGTGGACATGCTCACACCACACCACACCACACCACACCACTACTGTTGAAGGTTTGCAAGGAAAGAAGGAATGAAGGAAAGGTACCTGCAGATTGATGGGAAGAAGGGCTACCTTGTCAGACTCGCAAAGAAGGGTGACCTAAGCCTTTGCAAGAACTGGCGAGGAATCATGCTGCTGTCCACCCCAAGCAAAATATTATGCCGCATCATCCTTGAGCGACTAAAGGAAGCTCTGGATTCAAAATTATGACCGGAACAGACTAGCTGGTTGGATTCAGGTAGAACAAATCATGTGCGGATCAAATTGCAATGCTACGCCACGCATCATCACAGAACAGTCAACTCTCTACCTCAACTTTGTCGACTTTGAAAAGGCCTTCGACATCATCGACCGAGAAGTGATTTGGCAGCCAGCTGCTTCAACACTACGGTTTTAGTGCCACAAATCTTTATCAACCTCATTCAACAGCTATATCAAGACGCCACATGCCAAGTGATCCACAATCGAAAGCTCAGTGATGCCTTTCAAGTGAAGTGAAGTGAAGTGAAGACAGGAGTAAGACAAGGCTGCCTACTATCACCCATAATCTTCCTGATTGTCGTGGACTCGACTGGACTCGACTGGATTATGCAGCAGATAACTGTGAGGAGCGAGAAGATGGGCATACGCTGGCTGGACCGATGAAAAGACCCCACGAAGAAGATTTGGACTGCGTCGATGATGATGATGATGATTTACGCCTGAGGTCTTGTTGCACAAAATCGAAGATCTACAGATGAAAGCTAACAAGTTGACAAAAGAAGCAGGGCAGCGAAGACGGGACTTCCTTCAGGTGAATGTAGAGAAGACGGAGGTGATGAAGATACCCAACCAACAACAGCATCAACAACAACAACAACACCAATCATCATCAACGGGAGAAACCTAAACGAAGTAGTCTCTTTCACCTACCACTCTGCCTAGGCACCATCGTTTCAACTACACGTGGCACAGACAAAAATGTCAAAACCAGGATCGGAAAGACACCAAGACAGGCTTTCATTAATCTAAAACCAGTGTGCAGATCTACTGCACTCCACTCAGCATAAAGAACAACATCCGGATATTCAACACTAATTCAGTCAAGTAAGTCAGTGCTTCTATGTGATGCTTCAGAAACTTGGCGCGTCACGCAAACCACTTCCAACAAACTACAGACATTCATCAACAGCTGATACCTACGCTCACTCGATACTGACACTGAAGATCAGATGGCCAGAATAATAAGAATAAGCAACTGGGAACTCACTCTGGCTGTCAATGAACCAACCAAGAATCCATCACCCAACAAATATGCAGAAGAAAGTGGAGATGCATCGGATTGGATAGGGCATACACTGAGAAGGCCGACTGGGAGGGAGCATCATGCACCAGGCCAGTTGCTTGAGTGGAACCCAGAGGGGGGAACGATGAGTTGGGCATCCCAGGTGAGGGTGACATGGAGGAGATCATGTGAGGAAGAAACAAAAGCTTGTGGGCAGTCGTGGAGCCAGGTTGAAAAGACTGCAGAGAACAGAGTGCAATGGAGGTGTGCTACTGAATCCCTATGTTCCACTAGGAACCCAAGGGATAAATAATAATGTAAATATAAGAACTACAGCGCAGTATACTTAGCCTTTAATAAGTCGTCCGATATCTCGCCAGCCGACACCAGAGATGTCAAACTAGCCTTTTTGTGTGAGCTGAGTTTTCGTTATCAACCAGCCCGTTCAGTCTGATGCAACTCCCCAAGTAAGTGGATTGGTTGACACATTACACCACTTCACTCGCTATCACTAAACCAGGAGTAGTTGCAGGCCAGTCCTGGAACATCATCTTACATTTGACAAGTGCGTGCTCAGATTTCTGCTCAAAACGTCCACAAGACCCTGCAGCTTGCAAGTCTTCCCCTAATGGGATAATATTTTCTGAGTAGTGCAAGTTGTTATCATACTAAACCCTTTACCATTCCATCGGGAAGTTCCATTTTTACTAGCTGTTGTGTGATACAACCGAATGGTACAAGTAAATATGGAAAATGTTTTAAATGAAGTGTATTATTTAAGAGTCGCAGTGGATGCACCAACGACATGTTATGTATTCCTTATGTATTCATTAAATCCTATGAAAAACACTTAACATAAAAAATTCAATAAACTTATACCATAGGTCACAAATATACAGGCATTCATAACAAAGAGTAAAATGAATGAGTCTAACCAAATACCGAACAGTGCACAATGGAATATACACACCAATATCGTACGAAATCATAAATAAACGAATTTTATATCTTCAGTCTCTTACGAAAAAAGAAACAATAAATTCTGCTACAATAATTTTCGCTCACTTCTGTAGCACCAACGGTCCCCTTTTTGTCCACGAAAATGAAGCATTCTGGAAAGTGATGACATCCGATGAATCTGAAAATGCAAAAATTTCATACAATGACTCCCAGAGGAATAAAGATACTCTCACAATAGCTATTGTAAATATTTCTAATTATATATATATATATATATATATATATATATATATATATATATATATATATATCCCATGATATTCTTGATTGTGTTGTGGTCGACTAGACTGGATCATGCAGCAAACAGTGCGGAGCGAGAAGAGGGACATACGCTGGCTGGACTGAGGAAAACAACCTAGAAGATCTGGATTTCGCCACCGATAACTTGTGTCTCATGTCACACAAACTTGACGATCTACAGGCAAAAACTAACAAGTTGACAGAAGAGGCAGGGCACAGAAGGAAGACGGGACTTCAGGTGAATATAGAGAAGACAGAAGTGATGAAGATACCGCACCAACAACAACAACAAACTCTAATCACCATCAACGGAGAAACTTAAAGGAAGTAACCTCCTTCACCTATCTAGGCAACACTGTTTCAACTACAGGTGGCGACACAGACGAGGATGTCAAAGCCAGTCAGAATCGGAAAAACAGCAAGACAGGCATTCATTAGCCTGAAACCAGTGTGCAGATCTACTGCACTCAGCATAAAGCGTGAACAAGATCCGGATTTTCAACACCAACGTCAAGTCGGCGCTCCTCTATGGCTCAGAGACTTGGAGCATTACGAAAGGGATCTCCAATAAACTACAGACATTCATCAACAACTGCTGCCTACGCTCACCCGATACTGACACTGAAGATCAGATGGCCAGAATAATATGAATAAGCAACAAGGAACTCACTCTGGCTGGCAACGAACCAACCAACAACCTATCACCCAACAAATATGCAGTGGAAGGAAGTGGAGATGGATTGGGCATACACTGAGAAAGCCGACTGGGGACATCACGCACCAGGCCAGTTGCTCGAGTGGAATCCCCATGGGAGGAGACGAGTTGGACGTCCGAGGTGAGAGTGACATGGAGGAGATCGTGCGAGGAGGAAATGAGAGCTTCTGGGCTGTCGTGGAGCCAGGTTCAGAAGATTTCAGAGAACAGAGTGGAATGGAGACGTGCTACTGAAGCCCTACGTTCCATTAGGAACCCAAGGGACTAATAATAATAATTATATATATATATATATATATATATATATATATATATATATATATATATATATATATATAACCCACCAGTTTTTCTTCCGGCAATAAACCTGTGCTCATGCTTATGAAATCTGCTAATCTAAAGCTGAAACTTTACAAAAGCTGTTAGCCATCCACATAACCTTCGTCTTTTAAACATCACATAGTGAATTCTTGCTAACTGCTACCGATCCCCTTACTACACAAATTGAAGAATACCAAAACCATCAGGTTCAAAAGGGAGGGTTGTGCAGGTTATTCAACTAAGGAATGAATCACACTCATTGTGTAAGAGCTACTGGTAGTACCTGACCTAATAATTCTTGGCAGGTAGAACGGAGAGACAGAATTAAAGAAAGGGATATCATATTGAGAATTTCGGCTTGTTCAAGTCATTTAGTTAAAAGCAAACTAAAGTACTATCACAAAACAATAAAACTTAAGATAACTGTTCTAACAATAGAAACAGAATGAATTACAAGTAACTGTTCAGACATACTTCCGGGTGAGTGAGAATTGTTATGCAGAGAATATTGTTCCAGTTCATCAGCCAAAAGAAATATTCCAACACGACGAATCGATACAAATGCCTACAAAGTAATCAATAAAATGAAATGTAGTCATCAACCCTAGCATTATCAAGAGAGATCTACTGCACAAAAACGGAAATTAAGAAAATCTTTCGTAGAAAACTAGAGATTTGGGCTTATGCGTTCATATTCACCTGCTAGTTTTTCTGAAAAACCACTTCCAAAGTCCATCCCGCGACAGTGGACTTAGCTAACCACTCGAAAATATATCTACCACATGCAACATAAGACCAGTTCTTGGATTAAAGCAGATAAACATGACAACAAAGAATCCCACGTAAGCCACCACAGTTAGCAACAGCACTCATACAAACACAGGAATAAAAAACAAATAAGTTAAATATGCAAGTCGACAATGAGAGGAGAATACATATAATTTAGAGTGGTAAGATGTTCAAACCTTGTATGCAGATTCACAATCTTACCGATCGGCTTATCATTGTTCTACTAAATATGCCTGATGCCAACGTTACCTACAAGTTGATTTTAATAAAGGCAGTGTTTTCGAGAGACGCAGGACAGAATATTCGTAACCGACGTTTTAAAACCTGTGCAGGATGCCTGCTTCTCGTAAAGCAATCATATATTTCAGTAAAGAAGAAGGTGTATTCTAACAAAGTCAACTAATCACTCGATTCTCATATCCAGATTTCGGTAGCCACCACACGATCAGACGTAAAAAATAATTCACTACCAGCCTCGAGCACCGCCTGCTACTCATGAACCTGAAGTTGATGTACACCACAGTATTATATCATACTTGAAATATCCCAAAACATCTTAGTTGGTGGTTCAAGCCACTTACCAGAAGCAGAGAATCATATCTGCGACCTCATCACTAAGCAATATATCGTCTTGGCAATTTGGGTTCATTCAATTCCTCCGGAAGTGAATTGACCAGCTACAAAAGACAGCCCTTTCTGAAGATCACTAGAGATCATCAATACAAATGGCAAAACTCCATTAACGTCTACCCAAGTGAGTGTCAGACAGACAGACACAGACAATATCAACACAGAACCAGGCATTACTGCATAACAGTCCAAGTTGCCACAACTTCATCCCAGCACATCAATTTAGAAGGCACTGAGATAGAAGATCAAGAAATGAAGAAAGTAGTCAATGTGACAGAAACCCGTAGAAAAAAAAGCTGAAATGAGAGGACAGTGAATTCAGTAGGATATATCTGTGCCACTGACATAAATTTTGAGGTATGTCACCTACAGCCTTAAACCACTAGTTTCTGTTGTCACGCCGACCCCAGCTGGGAAGTCTACGTTTCCCTAAGCGGCTCAGATCAAAATTCAAAGACTTCATGGATGATTGCCATGTTTTATTCACGCCACCAGTAAACCTTTCCCATCCTCAACCAACTTCAGCTAACATTGAATGACGGAGAAGATGGTGACTAGGCATGCATAAAACATGTTCCAGCCACCTGAGTCAATGAAGTTTCACAATCTCATCAGCTGACCTTCCTCTTCTACCAAAAGCTCCACATCTGACGTCTGCGTTACTGATGTGGTCATACCACGACATATGGCCTATGCTGAGAGAGTAACAAGTGTCGAACACCTGAGGCTTTCTCACTCCCTCTACCTTTATCGGTTATGTTTCATAAGTAGTAGATAACGGTCAAGATTGCATACCTCCAAGTGAAGAATATTTACAAGAATAATCAGATCACTCAGTAACTGCTTCTAGGTTAAAAACTTCCATGAATTCTTCTGATCAAAAAAGCCAAGCCATATTCGACGAACTAATGACCTCACTCAAGTGCTTAAACCAACATGATTGAAGTAAATCGAAAGTCATAGCCCGGGAGAAAATGTCACTCTTTCAAGAGACACATAAACGCATAAGCTTGCTCAGTGGCTAGTGGAGTTATTGGATCCCATTAAGAAGTAGTTCTGTAAGTATTCCTTAAAAGATACATTTGAAGTAATCAAATGCCTTGAGCACATCTACATAAAGAGTAAATTTATGTGTTCATTTGATGTTAACTAATTATTTACCAATGTCCCTTTGGTCAAGACAATTGACATTTTATGTGGTTATATTTCTGTGCATAAGTTTCCGATACCCATTTCTTTGGATCACCTAAAACATCTGATACTTTTATGATCAAACAATATTAAATTGACCTTTGAGGGCGAACATTTCCGCCAAGTTGATGGTGTCGCTTTGGAAAGTCCTTTAGGTCCCGTCCTAGCCGACATATTTATGTCACACGTTGAGAACTTAGCTAAGAACTTAATAGACCAAGCCCAACTGTATCGAAGATATACTGACGATATCCTGATCATTTGTGAAAACTCAAATCAGTCTACTTCAATTATAAACCTATTGAACGAAGTACACAACAGCTTATCTTTGACATGAGTATGAGAGGAAGATGGCTGCTTGCCGTTCATGCATATATTAATTAGTCGAAGGCAGGATGCATCCATAAAACGATCTATCTACAGAAAACCTACATCGACACGCCAATATACAAATGACCATAGCTGTCGCCTAGTTCAGTAAAAGCAAGCGTTAGTAAGGTGATTATTCAGCAGAATTCAACGAATATGCACAGAGGATACTTTAAAAGATGAAAGAGGAACACTGACCAATATTTTGTTGGAAAATAACTATCCATCAACATTTATCAGGCAGAACAAAATCAGCAGAGCACCAAAACTACAACTTCAGTCAATCCAAAAGAAGGATGTCTTCACCAGCCTTCCATACAAAGGTGACTCTCATACTGCACTCCTTAAGCAGAGAGAGACTTAACGCTGCTTTTAGAAGGACTTACTGTGGAGCCAGGGTTCGATTAATAGAAACCACGAAGCCATTATATTCCCCTAAACCCCCACAGCCTGTGAACGACAATGTCACATACCATTGCATCTACCAATTCAAATGTACGTGTCGTGACACATACATAAGGAGGACTCATAGATCCATGCAAGTAAGGGACTCGGAACATATTCCGAAGAGGCTTCAGAAGCAAATTAAATCACCTGAACCCATAAACGTTGGTAGTAGACGTCCAAGTTCTTCCATCGCAAAACATATCGTTCAAACAGGTCACAGGATTGATGTGGCTACTTCCTTTACACCTATTTACAAAACGTGTTGGGGACGGATCCTTAAATTTGTTCAGGTCTTAGCTATTAGGAAGCTCAAACCACCTTTGTGTGCTCATAAACAATTTGTTATCACATTAAATCTTCCTTGGTAAATTCAACTATGAAAACCAAGTTCCATGGTACTATTATTTTTTCGCTCTATTGATTTTCATTGTTGTTCGGCCTCTACATCAGCATTCCTACCTGACCTCTTTTTTTTTCTCACCCATTATCTTCATGAATTTTCATATAAATACCTATGACAAGTACGTGTGTGATCAGATAGTTAGAAATGTGTTGCGCAAATGTAGCACATGGTTCAGACAGTTTACGTCTTCTTAATGTTTTCTCGAAGTTTATAAAGGGAACTAATTGTTTTAAATGATATACTAGTTGTTTCCCAATGCATGGACTCATATGCGTCAGTTTGCATAACACAGTACACAACAAGTAAGCTGTCAATGACATAAAAGGTAACGCTGAAGCACTGGATTTTTTAAAACAAAATGAATTCAGCTTCTCTTTGCATTATTTTGTCATTTCAATCAAATGGTGCTTAAATCATGCATTTTACAAAACCATATGATGGATAACATTATACAGCTACAAGCTATGCACAAACATTTATGATCTGTTTCAAGCAAGACTAATTTATATAGGACATTATCCTCATGTATCGCAGCATTCAAATTTATGCTGATTGGACTTATTCGACTGCTAGTTCCAGTTGTTGATATATATGCAACACAAGAAATATACAAGTGTAAATACATTACCAATACTTTTTGAAGACGCATAATATCTATACTTATACCAGATATACACTACATTACTTTCTCAAAACTAGAATAACATGAGTGTTTAAAAGTAAGGAAATATGAACACAGAAACCAATCACTATCTTATTATAGTCATACCGTAACTGATAAATACCTAAAAGTTTGAGGCCCCGAGAAAATCCTAATTTTTAAGTTCATACCAATCAATAGTGATCACTAATTGTACCGGCTGGGGAACATGAACAAAGAAGTACAGTAAGGCAGTGAAGCAAAATAGTGTAAGTCCTTAATTGAGTCAGTCAATCAGGATTAACATCCAACTTGGCATTACTGAGTAATATTTCATATTGCCAAACCTCGTATCAGCATGGGTACAAGATAGTAGGTTGAAATGTAGAGTAGTAAGGAAGAAAGTAGTGAAAAGTCATGAGGAAATAAGAAGAAGAAATAAATCAATGGTGGAACTAGTCTTGATGATTAATATGACGATAATGTGTGGATGCAACTGAGTCATTGAACTGGACTCTGAACTGTATCACCTAGAGTTTCCAATCACCAGTTTCGGTTGTCACACAGACCCTGATCGACAAGTCTATATTCCCTAACATGTCTCAGATCAAAAGTCAAAGACTGAACACATTTAGTTACATAAGTTCACTAAATTCATGGAATTCAGTACTCAATGTTGAACATCTTTAGCCTATAATAATTTCAGAAAACTAGTCACCCCCCCGAATTCATCGTTACTTATTCACATACTTATGAATAAGTTTAAAATGAAGGTTGAAACTAAAAATCGCTTAGAGACAGCGTGTATACAATTGCGTCACTGTAATGAATTGTGGGTTGTATCACAGTCTCCAACCACCTATTCTTATCGTCTCGAGAACCCATAAACATTTCCTGACAAACTACGAAATCGCTCAAACTTATCGCGCTAAGATACAGTGAAAAGTAAACAACGATATTTCCACTGATTTAGGTTTAAAAAACTATCCAATTACAGTCACACTAATGTTATGGATTGAATAGTAGTACAATTAGGATGATTGGATTCGAACCTAACAGTTGCATGGAAACATGTCCACCATCAGACCGAATGGCTGTGAATTCGACTCATCACAAACCCATGGATGCATTCTGCTACGGTTTGCCGAACCCAAAGATAATAATAATCCTCAGATTCAAATCATTCTTTAAATGAAGAAATTTTCAAAATTATACAGGAGACAAATTTATAAAACAAACTTTTCAAACTGTTAGAGTTTGTCTACTGATAAGATTTATATAATCAAATGAAAATATCGCAAAACCCAAATCGAGATTGAAGTAAAGCAAGTGGGATATCTTAACGTCCTTCGTAAATTTTGCAGCAAACCGAAAAATTGTTTTTTAAACCCTTGGTGCAAATTACTTTCCTATTTATTCAGAAACCTACGATATTACTTCCTCAGGTAATCTTGAATAGGTCAGTTGTCCCAACGAAAGTCTGTGAGAAAAGGGAGGTGGAACAAATAGTCATTTTTGAAGTTAAAAAATAAGTAAAGCATAGATCCATGTACAATAACATAAGGTAAAGGCGTACCATTATTGAAGAGGAAAGGCTCCATGGTAGCAAAACAAGCGGACTGCGTAGTAAGTTAAATAAGCTAACACTGACGAAAATTCGTTCAGGTGTTAGCAGCTGGGTAGTGTTGTCTCCACCCCAGTGACCGGCGAATAGGAATTCTCGAAGATAGGTGATAAAAGTTACCAATAAAATAAGATACGGCGCTAAATTCCATATAATATGACACATGCCCCAACCAACGACAACGCGTAGTAGCTCAACTAGTTCAGATTTGCGAATTGACTTGACCTGAGATTCGAATGCCTTTTCCCAAGCATAAAGTTTGACTACCTAAAATGAAAAACGGTCAATATGTAGTTGGTTTCTTACTTTTAAGGGTAATCTTATCTGGTCGATGAAAAATTCATAATAATGTACAAATTAATATTATCTTCAGCCGAATTCAGATGTCACAGAAATGTGAACAACTATTATTTGAAATGACCAGTCAGCTTTTTTTTCGCTTCTAAATTGAAAAAATAGATATTTCTTTTACTTACTGTAAAAGAAAATATAATGCACCTTGCACTAAAAATGGCAACATTACGAATATATAATGATTACAAGCCACATTAAAAATGACTGCAAAAACTACTCACACTTTGTTAATCCAAAGTACATGTATCGCTTGTGTATTCGAGTGTTAATAGCAAAAGACTGATAGGAACTTGAGACTTGCAATAATTTATTCGCGTAATACGAAGTAACTGTTGATTCGCAACCAACAGAATTTAACTGATGCAAACACACTAAATCAACTCACTCGATGAATATAAGAACACGGCAGATATATAGAGAAGAATTTATTCGCTCTCATGAGACAAACTATTTTATGGACTAAAATATTCTGTCGGCATATATATTTACACAAAAGGATTTGCCACACTTCCGACAAAACCTTATTATACTTACATATCCATTAAGCAATCAGTTCGCATAGTATGAGACCAAATAAATACACCTACCAGGACAGAAATCCAGACAGCACTGGAAAGTACTTCTCATGTAAAATGCATATGAACCCTAGTGGCTAAGCTGATTTTGCGTTAGGTACGACTAATTGCGCATGATAATCAGAAACTGATTGATTGTGTGAGTACTTTCTTATGTTACTTTTCAAGATTTCCAGTGAATTTAAATAACCATAAGATTACGGTTAACGTGCAAAATCTAGCAGAAACCACTACTTTACGCCTGAATATATCAACGTAGAATCCATTTTTACGTAGAATTGGAAGTATAATATTTTAGTCTTTTCAGTATAAAAGAAAATCCAAATGTATATCAAAAGAAATGATTGTGTTTAGATGCCAGTCCATCAACAAAAAAATACAATAGAACGTTGTCTCCAGTTTGTCTTCTTAAAAATTTATACTAATTCGGTAATTATTACATGGTTAATAAAAACAATATTTGCGAAAAAAAGTACACAAATAGTGTAATTTAACAGATTTGTGATCCTTTAAAAATAAAATTTATCAGATATTAACCAAGATCTGGAGTTTAACAACCTTTGTTTACGCTTAAATAAAATTGAGATGTTAGATCCCGCAAAATGAACGTTTCATATCTTACATTCATAAATTCACCTGATGAAAATTTCAATTATCGTTCCGCATCACGAATAACGCTCGGTTTTACGGCTTCTGAAGAAGTTATTTTTTGAAGGTTGTTCTTCCATTCTCCATATGCTAATTTTGCCTGTCTGACCCAAAAAAACAAAGGTTGCATCTCTATATTTGATGGAAGTTAACTCTTTCTAGTTTTCTTAATTTTAATTCACCATTGTCATAATTGTTCTATTTGTCCTCACATTTTTCCATTTGATATTAATTGACGCCACAAGTTAGTGTGTGATCATATTGTTCGAAATGTATTGCACAAATACATTACATTGTTCAGATAAACTTCGTCTTGTAATTAAACCCCCTAAATTTATAAATGGTACTAATTGTTTTAAACTCTCTTCAGTTCAATCCTATCTTCTTCCTCATGTTAGCCTGGTGAGTTGTCGGGTATTATATCATTCATTCGGTATCTACATTCTGCGTCCCTAGTCAACCGTGTCCGCAAATCGCAAAACGAACAGCCAAAATAATTTCTGTTTGCTAAAAGTAACCCATACTTAATTCTGTATCTGTTCCTATTGGACATACAAGAATGAAGCATAGCCACCTAAACCGCATAGTAAGCACAACAGATTACTTCGGTACAAATCAATGATGCACCGGCCGAAAAAACTACCTTCTATAGGTGCACAATTAATAACGTCTAAGATCAAGTGCTATCATATAATTTAGTGAGTGGATTATCCAAAATATTTAAAAAAGTTTAAAAACGTCTAATAATAGAGTATTATGCAGTGGAGTAGAGAGATCAAGACAAAAAATGATAGGCAGTTAAAAAGAATAGATTGAATACACATTCGAGTATGATATGAACTTACACGTATAGCAGAAAGTACTTCACCTAAACATTTCATGCGCTTGTCTTTGTACTTCATTTCACGTATCTAAAAAAAAACATTTTTTGAAAACGAAATTTGGATTCAAAACCAAAACTTGGATGTGGATAATGTAGAATAATAAGTATCTATTTAGCTACAGTTATCTGTTTTCCCTTTGTAACAATGATAGTTTGAAAACAAACTAGGTGATGTAGAATAGACGTAAGGCGACAAGTTAGCCAGTTAGAGCTTTTATTTTACTGATGAGGTTATTTCATTCGAACCTGTCAATTGTGTATTAGAGTTTCACACTATATTAGTTGAATTTAAATGTATATCAAGAAGTTTCTGTTATTGGAAACCGAAGGTTTGAAGAGTAATAGAAGCAAAGTTGGGTTAAAAAAACAGGGCTATGGGTCCACCGATCTAGACACTTGCTCACCGACTGCTACGTAAATGAGACTGACCTATTTCTGACTTTCCTGAGGGTATAAGGAAAGTACTGCACCGTGGATGACGTTATAATAGGAAGTGGCCAGAACACAAATTAACATTTTAAGTCAATGACAGCTGGAGCTGAATTTCTTGAAGCTTTAATTTTTGATATCGGTTGTGTGGTTGGAGTGACTGGTTGATCTTATATATATATATATATATATATATATATATATATATATATATATATATATATATAATGTTTGTTTACTAAGGGCCAAATAATAACTATGTAGTGATCAGTTATATTCAAGTGGGGTGAAAATTATGTGAATACTATAACGGAATACAGAATGACGAATGTGAAGTGTTACGACACGGGTGAAAATGACTACCGGTAGTGACATGAATAAAGAAGGGCATAAAACTAATAACTTAAGAAAATGAATGTTTATCAATGCAATGACATTATAGAAGAAAAGGATGGGAGGTTCATATTTTCCTGCGTGTTCAGTGCCACATTTTACTTCATTTATTCGACCAGCTTAACATGTGAAAACCTGAAATGTCTTTGATTTTACACCCGTCCCCGTAACTTAAATCAAATATTACAAAAATCTGTCAGTGTAAAGGTGTAAAGGTCGTTGAAGTAAAATAATTGAGAATTACTTGAGCATATGAGACGAAGCAAAAAAAGAAAATCATCTGCCTATGGTAAGTAAAAGTGAAATTCTAAGCTTTGTTGTATCTGAATGGCTCTCAGAAGAAAACACGTTAGGAATATTGACATTCGATAGAGTATGTATTTAACTATTCTTCTTTAATTATGATATGGAGTTTCGGTTCATTGGTCTAGACACTCGACTTCCAACCAGTCGGTCACGAGTTCGAAACATGGTCTTATTAGAATTTAAACCTGTAAACTTTTCGGTAACCACACAGATACTATGAAAGAAGTTATTGACTACATCAAGTTATAATTGACGGTTTTACCTAGTTGCTGAAAGAGTTAACAATCATTTGGAAAGCCCTGCAAATTAATAAAAATGCCAGAGTGTGATGCAGATTTGAAATGAAGCCATTGACATCCAAAAACAGTAAGGACGTAAATAGACTTCATTCCCACCGTCAACCATTGTATGATTAGCCGTGCACTCCGCTTGTATCATCTCTGTTTAATTCATAACATTTTCTACATTATTTTACCACGTGTCGAACATACGTTACATCGTTCGCCGATGAGTTTTCTTCCTGTTTCTTATCCTACTTGTAATTATGATTACTTATTTGTTTCACAACTACTATGACGTTTGATATACACATATACAAGTTATCCAAAAACTAAAGCCATATCTTATTTTGAAAAAATGTATTTTTTGAAAACAGTTTCATTTCGTAACTATATAACCTGAAGAGAGTATATCAAAAGGAATATTCTTCGTTCATATTGACTTTTAATTTGTGATATAGAAATCTCTAAATGTTTGAAATCGTAGAACTTCATTCTGATAGGTTATTCCTCTCTCATGAAGCTGTACTGAAAACAGCCCGTCAGACAGCCATAGAAAGCCCAGTCAATAAATACCCAAATTCGGATAGTAATCGAACTACAGCAGTACATGCAGTCTGAACTGCAAATAGTTTTCATTGCTTTATTTCAATATAAATCAATATGTTGTACTGTTACCGTTTTAATTCTTGGTCAACCACTGACAGTCATTTATTTCCTCATCTCATAATTTCATTTCATTGGTGGAGAATTACGGCCAACCATTAACCAGTTACACCTAAGCGCAAACATATTTGGTTAACATCCCATACCACAGTAAGTTAAATGAATGCTTATCAGTAATATGGATCACTGTGCTATAGATCCACCAGGCTCAATAGTACTCGACAATTAAGTAAAATAAAAGCGATATTATTTAGAAGCAAGTATCACTTACTTCAAATTTTTGAGTAGCCCACATAAGTAAGATATTTAGCGGCAACATCAGTAACAAAACTCCTATACCGGCTATTGCAGCCGAACCCAGTTGGCGCCACAACAATACGAATGCCAGGATGAATTCAATAATTGCATCCCAAACAAGAAACGAAAACACTAAAAAAGGAAAGTTTGAAATCAGTGATTAAAGATGATCTTAGTGACAAAATATTATGAAATCATTCACGACCTATCCAGAAAACACAAATGCATCTGAGATGAGTTAACGGAACAACAAGTAAAATGAACTGTCTCATGAAAATAATAAGAATGAAGTGATAAAAAAGCAATCGATATGTACATCCTATGAATATGAAAAACAGTTGCCAATAACATCAAGGAATCAGCACAAAACAATAAAACTTAAGAAAATAAACTAAATATCAGTGGAAATTGTTTACATTTAAAATAAGCAACTATTTTTAATACAATTATGGAATTGTTTAACACCTTCTGGACAGCTTTTCATAAGAAAAATGCATAAACAGGTTGCGTGGGTGTCTTCCGATGTTAGCCGCTAGCGTGACATTTTAATCACTGAGTACATCATAAAGTCAACGAGTATCCCACTGTAAATTATTTAATCAGATAATAAAAATTCAGTGATTTTTTCACTAAATACCCAAATAGAGTCAAAGAAATGCGCTGCTAAATGGCATCAATAGTTGCATAATAGGTCAGATCAAAAAGCAGTACTAATTCATGAAGTGTGACTTGTGGATTGGACAGTATATGAAAACATAGACTCTGGGTGGATATTGTGAAATGATAGAAACCAATGGTTGAAGAAGCTTGATCAAATTCAGTCATAGTAGGATAGATGCATGTCCTTTGTTACCTTTAAAATTCTCAACATTTTCAGTAAATTTCATTCATATATCCCGTCTCTCACATACCTTCATCTACTTTATTATGTCAATATGTTTCCATTTATCAAATGATAAACAGTCTACATGTATTGGTGAGTTATCAGTTTTCCGGCAACGATTGCCTATACGTTCAATCTCGTACATGTTTTTAGTTGCATTATTGATATTCAAGGATGTTTCAAGTTACATCCATTGCATATAAGCAAGTTTAACTTTAGAAGATGAAGCAAACAGCATACAAATAGTTACAATGAATGTGATAATCCTTTTGATTCCAGCTCAGTTTAGGTTTTGAGGAAAGTCATAAGGTGCGTTCAATCAACAGCAGATTATCTCAATCTCGTTACGACTAATGAACTTGACCACACAACGCTTCATCGTATCGTTATCAGCAAACTAGTCAAACATCTTTCGTTCACCTCTTCATACAATCCACTTGCTATTTCCTCGCAACATTCCGTGTACGCTGCTGTGAACTGTGGCACTATAAATTTATACAGTGTGTAAATTTTTTCACATTCATTTGCCTGTCCACAACACTTACAACAAACTGGCACCTCAGACTAAAATAAACTTCGAGAAAACAATAAGAAGACGTAAATTGTCTGAACCATGTGCTATATTTGCGCAACACATTTCTAACTATCTGATCACACACGTACTTGTCATAGGTATTTATATGAAAATTCATGAAGATAATGGGTGAGAAAAAAAAAGAGGTCAGGTAGGAATGCTGATGTAGAGGCCGAACAACAATGAAAATCAATAGAGCGAAAAAATAATAGTACCATGGAACTTGGTTTTCATAGTTGAATTTACCAAGGAAGATTTAATGTGATAACAAATTGTTTATGAGCACACAAAGGTGGTTTGAGCTTCCTAATAGCTAAGACCTGAACAAATTTAAGGATCCGTCCCCAACACGTTTTGTAAATAGGTGTAAAGGAAGTAGCCACATCAATCCTGTGACCTGTTTGAACGATATGTTTTGCGATGGAAGAACTTGGACGTCTACTACCAACGTTTATGGGTTCAGGTGATTTAATTTGCTTCTGAAGCCTCTTCGGAATATGTTCCGAGTCCCTTACTTGCATGGATCTATGAGTCCTCCTTATGTATGTGTCACGACACGTACATTTGAATTGGTAGATGCAATGGTATGTGACATTGTCGTTCACAGGCTGTGGGGGTTTAGGGGAATATAATGGCTTCGTGGTTTCTATTAATCGAACCCTGGCTCCACAGTAAGTCCTTCTAAAAGCAGCGTTAAGTCTCTCTCTGCTTAAGGAGTGCAGTATGAGAGTCACCTTTGTATGGAAGGCTGGTGAAGACATCCCTCTTTGGATTGACTGAAGTTGTAGTTTTGGTGCTCTGCTGATTTTGTTCTGCCTGATAAATGTTGATGGATAGTTATTTTCCAACAAAATATTGGTCAGTGTTCCTCTTTCATCTTTTAAAGTATCCTCTGTGCATATTCGTTGAATTCTGCTGAATAATCACCTTACTAACGCTTGCTTTTACTGAACTAGGCGACAGCTATGGTCATTTGTATATTGGCGTGTCGATGTAGGTTTTCTGTAGATAGATCGTTTTATGGATGCATCCTGCCTTCGACTAATTAATATATGCATGAACGGCAAGCAGCCATCTTCCTCTCATACTCATGTCAAAGATAAGCTGTTGTGTACTTCGTTCAATAGGTTTATAATTGAAGTAGACTGATTTGAGTTTTCACAAATGATCAGGATATCGTCAGTATATCTTCGATACAGTTGGGCTTGGTCTATAAGGTTCTCGGCTAGGCTTCAACCAATAGAAACCTCCAAGCTCATATATTCCCCTAAACCCCCACAGCCTGTGAACGACAATGTCACATACCATTGCATCTACCAATTCAAATGTACGTGTCGTGACACATACATAAGGAGGACTCATAGATCCATGCAAGTAAGGGACTCGGAACATATTCCGAAGAGGCTTCAGAAGCAAATTAAATCACCTGAACCCATAAACGTTGGTAGTAGACGTCCAAGTTCTTCCATCGCAAAACATATCGTTCAAACAGGTCACAGGATTGATGTGGCTACTTCCTTTACACCTATTTACAAAACGTGTTGGGGACGGATCCTTAAATTTGTTCAGGTCTTAGCTATTAGGAAGCTCAAACCACCTTTGTGTGCTCATAAACAATTTGTTATCACATTAAATCTTCCTTGGTAAATTCAACTATGAAAACCAAGTTCCATGGTACTATTATTTTTTCGCTCTATTGATTTTCATTGTTGTTCGGCCTTTACATCAGCCTTCCTACCTGACCTCTTTTTATTTTCTCACCCATTATCTTCATGAATTTTCATATAAATACCTATGACAAGTACGTGTGTGATCAGATAGTTAGAAATGTGTTGCGCAAATATAGCACATGGTTCAGACAATTTACGTCTTCTTATTGTTTTCTCGAAGTTTATAAAGGGAACTAACTGTTTTAAAATAAAATTGGTCTAAATATCGGCCATCAGTACTTCACACACCTTTGGCTGATTGAATAAATCAACGTAGAGCCTCGCACACAGGTGAGTCGGCTCAACTGCCATACTTCACAACAGTACATAAGACAGGTGGACAGAAAAGGAGTGATGTCAAAGTAGAAATAGTGCGAGAGAAAAAGTATTCGGAATATAAAGGTTAGTATGAATACACAAAACCTCGCCTGGTTAACTAGTTCACTAGTTACTAGCATATCCTATGCCCGGATAAAGAGGGAAGGTTTGGCATAGGGCTAGCAACCCTACCCCGTAAAACAAATCTAACCGTTAAACAAACTTCAAAGCACAAACGATATATTAAAAATAATAACACAATTATTCCTCGCTGGTATTGGAGAGGCAAAATGACGCCAGTTGGTGAAAGCCTTCGGGAAGCCAATTGGCTGATGTGACTTCTCTCGATGAAAGAGAAAGTAAACGTGGGGACATGGAATGTCCGCACCATGTATGAACCTATCAAGGCTGCCCAGATTGCAAAAGAGATGAGGAGGTATGGCATGGAAATGCTTGGAATCTGCGAAAACAGGTGGGATGCAAGTGGACTCTCCAAACTGTCAACTGGAGAGTCAATAATCTACTCCGATATTGTCACCCAGACGACAACCACGAACGAGCACAGCACACTGAGTTTCGGAGTGGCTATCATGATGTCCCCTTCAAGAGCATCGAAGGCTCTCTCTCATGCAATGGGAACCAGTCTCCTCCAGGATCATGACAACAAGTTTCAACTCAAAAGGAAGGAAAGTCACAATCATACAATGCTATGCTACGCTACGCACCTACAAATAATGCAGAGCAAGAGAAAAAGGAGGAATTCTACAGACAACTACAATCAGTAATGGACAAGACGTCACACCAGTTGACGACATCAAAATTCTGATGGGTGGGGTGACATGAATGCCAGCCAAACTGGGAGCGGACAACACAGGAAGAGAACTGATCATGGGTCGAGAGGCACTCGGTCAAATGAATGAGAACGGAGAACTGTTTGCAGATTTCTGCGCATTCAATGACTTGGTGATTCGAGTCAGGCAGTGTGTACAAACACAAGGATATCCACAAAGTGACGTGGATCTGATTTCATCAGATGAACACACTAAAAACCAAATCGACTTCATCTCAATCTCAAGAAAATGGAGACGCAGTCTACTTGACACAAGATCAAGAAGAGGAGCAGATGTAGGTTCACACCACTCACTATCTAGTGTAAGGAACCTTCCAAATCAAGCTGAAAGCCTTCAAGGAAGCTGGTGACAGACCACACACAGTTCAAGTACAACACTCGGAAACTGAAGGATGAAACTACAAAGGACATCTTCAAGTCAGCCAGCCATCAAAACAAAATAGGAGACACTGAGCAACATCCCTGAAGGAACCTGTGTGGATGAACACTGGAACTCTGTGAAAGCTATGTGGAAAAAAACCTGCACAACCGTATTAGAAAGGAAGGGGAAAGAAGACAGGGCAAAGAATGGATCTCCACGGACACATGGAAGCCGATAGAGTTGGGAGAGGAAGATGGTGAAGCAGAAGATGAAGCAGAGCAGTGCAGTGCAAGCATACACAACGAAAAGATGAACTGAGTACAATGCATAAAACACTGGACAAAGAAGTGAAGAAGAGTGCGCACAAAGACAAAAGACACTTCCACGACACGCTGGCAAGTGAAGCAGAACAGGCTACTGGTAGGAGAGACCTGACAACATAATATATCAAATAACCAGGTTACTTACTGTCTGGGAAGAGATCAACGCAGACGAAACCAATGGAAGATAATGAAGGAGAGCTAGTTACCGAATAGGAGAAACAAGTGAAACGATGGGCAGAACACTTCAAAAGCTCTTGAATCGACCACCACCGGCACTCGTCCACAAATACCACCAGCAGCCCAGCCACAGAACTATCAGTGAACACACGAAACCGTGAACAGAAGTGAAGTCCTGAATGCCATAAAACTGCTGGAATACGGGAAAGCAGCAGGACAAAATGGAACTCCACCAGAGGCACTGAAAACAGACGCAGAGACAACAGTGGACATGCTCACACCACACCACTATTGCAGAAGGTGTGGAAGGAAGAGAAGGTACCTGGCTAGTGATTGGAAGAAGGGTTACCTTGTCAAACTGCCGAAGAAGGGAGACCTCAGTGTTTGCAAGAACTGGCGGGGAATCACTCTCCTGTCCACCCAAAGCAAGCAAAATATTAAGCCGCATCATTCTGGAGAGGCTAAAGGATGCGCTGGATTCAAAACTACGACTGGAACAGGATGGCTGGCTGGCTGGCTGGCTGGCTGGCTGGCTGGCTGGCTGGCTGGCTGGCTGGCTGGCTGGCTGGCTGGCTGGCTGGCTGGCTGGCTGGCTGGCTGGCTGGCTGGCTGGCTGGCTGGCTGGCTGGCTGGCTGGCTGGATTCAGGAAGTACAAATCATGTGCGGACCAAATTGCAACGCTACACTACGCATCATCATAGAACAGAGTATAGAATGGCAGTCAACTCAACTCCACCTCAACTTCATCGACTTTGAGTACTTTGACAGCGTCGACCAACAAGTAATTTGGAAACTGCTTCAATACTACGGAATACCGCACACCTTTATCCGCCTCATTCAACAACTATATGAAGACGCCACATGCCAGCCAAGTAATTCACAATGGGAAGCTCAGTGATGCTTTTGAAGTGAAGACAGGGGACAGGAGTGAAACAAGGTTGCCTACTATCACCCATGATATTTCTGATTGTGTTGTGGTCGACTGGATCATGCAGCAAACAGTGCGGAGCGAGAAGAGGGACATACGCTGGCTGGACTGAGGAAAACAACCTAGAAGATCTGGATTTCGCCACCGATAACTTGTGTCTCATGTCACACAAACTTGAAGATCTACAGGCAAAAACTAACAAGTTGACAGAAGAGGCAGGGCACAGAAGGAAGACGGGACTTCAGGTGAATATAGAGAAGACAGAAGTGATGAAGATACCGCACCAACAACAACAACAAACTCTAATCACCATCAACGGGAGAAACTTAAAGGAAGTAACCTCCTTCACCTATCTAGGCAACACTGTTTCAACTACAGGTGGCGACACAGACGAGGATGTCAAAGCCAGTCAGAATCGGAAAAACAGCAAGACAGGCATTCATTAGCCTGAAACCAGTGTGCAGATCTACTGCACTCAGCATAAAGCGTGAACAAGATCCGGATTTTCAACACCAACGTCAAGTCGGCGCTCCTCTATGGCTCAGAGACTTGGAGCATTACGAAAGGGATCTCCAATAAACTACAGACATTCATCAACAACTGCTGCCTACGCTCACCCGATACTGACACTGAAGATCAGATGGCCAGAATAATATGAATAAGCAACAAGGAACTCACTCTGGCTGGCAACGAACCAACCAACAACCTATCACCCAACAAATATGCAGTGGAAGGAAGTGGAGATGGATTGGGCATACACTGAGAAAGCCGACTGGGACATCACGCACCAGGCCAGTTGCTCGAGTGGAATCCCCATGGGAGGAGACGAGTTGGACGTCCGAGGTGAGAGTGACATGGAGGAAATCGTGCGAGGAGGAAATGAGAGCTTCTGGGCTGTCGTGGAGCCAGGTTCAAAAGATTTCAGAGAACAGAGTGGAATGGAGACGTGCTACTGAAGCCCTACGTTCCATTAGGAACCCAAGGCAATAATAATAAATAATAATAATAATAATGAATACTCAAGCTTGATAGGATGTCAAGAAGTGAATACATCTGCGTCATTGTGACCAATCTTCAGACATGTCACCAAGTTTCCTCAACCACTGATTCCTTTCGTCTCACAGACCCCAACCAGGCAGTCTACGCCGCCCCCAAACAGCTCAAGTCAACACCCAGGGACTTCACTGACTGGTGCCAGGTCTTGGTTTGGCCGCCCTGAACCCCTTTCCATCCTAATCCAACTTCCTCTAGCATGGTGCATCAAGGTGGGCTGTGGCTCAGCATGGGCAGTACATGTCCACAGCCATGTCAACCGACTAATGTTCCCAACCTCGTCAATCTACTTGCCTAGTACCTTTCGCCTGACCTCAACACTGCTCACATGGTGATTTCATCACAAGCGATCAACGCTACGAAGACACCTAGGGTCGAAAAACTGTAACTGTTTCATGTCTCCCAACTGTAAACGGCCATCTCTCACAGTAGTACAACAGGATAGGACGAACTGCAGCCATAAAAATTGCCCAAGTGGATCACTGCAAAAAACGATACGCTGGTAGAAGATGGGCTTATAAATACAAAGAAACATAGTATATTACTATTCATTAGATAAATATGTCGAATTGCAGATTTCGGTACTGGCTAGACCAACTACCACCACCAACATTACGTCCGATTTTCTGTTCATCCACGAGTCTAAGTCAGACGCTAATGTAATACTAGGTGCCTGTTTCATGCTATGGCTTTTATTACTGTTATCATTAACATTACTCAAATGCAGTGATTATTTCTCTTAAAGATATTGTACACGGAATGAATTTGCTGAACTACCATATACTGAGAATTCCACACTGTACCACACGTGTTGATTGGAATAAAGCAATTACCATTATTATTATCATTATTATTATCGTTACTATCATTATCACCAAACATATATATAGATACATGACCCTGTACTATGTGGGACGAAGTACTAATTTCTATGGCTGATATATTTAGATGCAGAAAGAGGTTTATCAAGGAATCTTTATTTATCGAACTATTGCATAACATGTGCAATGGGATTGAATAAGACCGCTGTTCTGGATTTATAGAAAATTCTTAAACATCCAAATCGTAGAATGAGAAGCACCAAGAATGTGAAAGCCAGATGTCAAAAAGTTGTTTGATCACTTCTACAAATGGTCACAGTCCATAAACTGTGCTAAAAACGCCGTCTAAACTTCAGTAACAGGTTTTAAGTACTCAATAAAATGGTAAACTGCATCCACTTCAAATGGTGGAGAATATTTGTAGCTCAGGTGGATGGTCTCGATTTTGTGTTCTCTGAGCCCAGGGAACACAATACAACCGAGTGCATCCACTTCAGTTGGTGCATATTCACAACTTTAAAGATCTAATTAATCGATATTCTACACCAAACTTTACCATCAATATCAGTGGTGTCAGCACAAATATGAAAGGTATGCGACTATTTCCTTCAGTAAGTAAGGTATTTGTAGAAGTCATTAAAATACTCCTCTACTTATATGAACTGTAAAGCCACTGCTAGCTTAGTTTCCACTAAAACCAAAATGGAGATCGCTTAACACTGTAATAATCAATTCAACCCATTTAAACTCTTCTCCTTTACTCGGTCACAATGTCGAAATGACCCTAACTCACAATGATTAAGGTATGGGATCTCCTAAAAGATCGCTTACTTAATCATCGTCACTCCGAGTTTAGTGATAGTATTTACGAAACAAATAAAGAACAGTGCGAAGTCAAATCTCATTCCGATGAATAATAATTCTTTAACAGACTATTTTCTCATGTTTCAACTGAAGAAAAAACATTTTACGAGGATATCTTCAAGTCAGTGAGTAAAAAGTGGGAGTCGAATAAGCAACTAGATGACTCAAAACAGACCAGGTGTAAGAAAATCATCACTGAAAGGTAACAAAGTAATGAAGTGGAGATCTCACGTGACATTTCATAAGAAAGTCCTGTCAGAAAAAGTGCACAGCTGTACAACAATGAGAAATGGTAGAAATTGACTTTCCAACTTCTGCCACCAGCAAACCTCAACAGTGTGCAAAAATATGTTTAGTAGCGAGTGTGAGTATGCTGTACATATTTCCAGGAAACATGAAGTTTACGTACTCTTACTTTATTCCATTTCCTATACCTTACGTAGTGATTCCCATTCTTTCCAATACTAGTTACATATTATCGTATTAATTACCAAGCTTTTTTAAGCAGAAATATAGGCAATCACAATTGACTTTATTAAATCACGAAACAGTAATGCGTATAAACAGATTCTTAGTGATATTATTAATTCTCATACTTACTAAAAAGTTCTTTTATACGATTCACGTCAACGCTGAGTAAATTTACCAATTCCCCTGTGGTAAACTCAGCCCGAGCTTCCGGTGATAGTCTAAGTGACTGGTAAGAAATAAAGAATAAATAATTAGTAGAGGCTTCTCAGAAAAAAAATTGAAAAATATGCAGGATAAATATGTTGAACTCACTTTACGATAAATTGCCGATGTAAGTGCAGAACGGACAGATATTCCCAAAGCTAAGCATGAATAGAAGCCTCTCTGGTTCACAAAAACACTTACTATCTGAAGCAACAGCATAGACGATGCAACAAAATATCCCTGCCATAGTGGAGCTTCAGGATTAGAAAGAAAACGAAGTAACATCCTACACAAAAAGATGTAAAAAAAAACATTAGAAATATGAATTAAAATCGGTTACAAACAGATTAGAAAAGCAGACAATGCCGACCAGCGTGAAAATGATCTGCATTCTACTAAATCGAAGTTACACCTGAATCATAAGACAGTAGGCTTTCAGAATAGAATACATGGAGAATCTAGAACAAGACTTCAGCAATCGTAAACTCAAATTTAAAGCCAAAGGGAAAGATAAGTAACAACGACATCCAGAAGTAAAAATATCTAAAATTCTAACATAAAACATAAAAGAAGAACACTTCGCAATTAAAAATTTAGCTTACCAAATATAGGTCAGTAATTTTCATATAGTGGGAACATATTCAAGTCAACGCACCTCTCATAAGCGCTAGTCCTTCGGAATATTATCTGTCATCATGAGACAAAATCGACTATCAATATTTCATATCCATGAACAATAAAACAACAACTATCCCATGATAACAACTCCACGCAAATGTGATGCACATAAGCTGCACATTTTATGGGCAAACACAATGCAAACCCCTGGAATTTGGTAGATAAGAAATACGCAGTAACCTACTTCAGTTTCCAAGTAAAAGAAGTTAACGGTCTATAGATCAAATCCATACAATTTTATACATGTTTGATAAAATTTCTACAACTCAACACAAGTGTGGTAGAATAAAATTCCATATCAAATTTATTTATTTGATATAGTACACAGCAATACAGTATTATTTACTTGCTGACGTTTAGAGAGTAAATTTTACTCATAATCATATCAATCAAAGTAATCACACAGCTTTTGACATCTAATTTTTACAGTCCTATAAACCACATATTCTTCTTAGTTCTTAGTGGCAGTACAATTTTTCACATCTCAAGCATAAGTGTCGCATTATTCCTATTACATGTATTAGGTGTTGATTCGATATACAACGATTCAGTAATCTGTTTCTCCACCTTGGACTTGAGTATAGTGGTTTCATCCCACTCTATAGTGTAGTTTTATGTTGCTGCATCCATTGTAATGGCCAATGTTTTTCCTACATAACATCCTATGGGATCTATCATTATGTACTTGGCTAAATCCCTAAGTTCTGAAAATCGAATAGATGCCGATAAGCTAGTTTGACCCATGCATTTGACCTCACAGTCACTCCATGGTATTTGATAAACCAAGTTATTTTGTCCAATCATCATCAAACATCGACATCACCGTTGGACTAGGCACTGTTATATACCGGATCAAGTTACCACACCTCATCTCAGCACATCAAGCGAAAAAGCACTAAGATGAAAAATGAATAGAAATCGGTCAAAGTTAGTAGAAATTAGCAAAAGGAAGGAAGGAGGAATAAGAAGGATGGAATTCAGTCTAACGATAAAGAAGCTTCAACAGACTATTGTGTACACCCGAACCCGTGTCATTAAGAGACGCTCGCATAAGATCTCTCTATCTCCAAATTCACATGTAGCCACTCTCACATCGAGAAATACAGCCATTCATAAAATTCAGCAAATGTGACAGTGCTCTAAAACCTCTCTAACATTCGATGAAAGTGAAAATAAGAATGGGGACATGGAATGTCCGCACCATGTATGAACCTATCAAGACTGCCCAGATTGCAAAAGAGATGAGGAGGTATGGCATGGAAATGCTTGGAATCTGCGAAAACAGGTGGGATGCAAGTGGACTCTCCAAACTGTCAACTGGAGAGTCAATAATCTACTCCGATATTGTCACCCAGACGACAACCACGAACGAGCACAGCACACTGAGTTTCGGAGTGGCTATCATGATGTCCCTTCAAGAGCATCGAAGGCTCTCTCTCATGCAATGGGAACCAGTCTCCTCCAGGATCATGACAACAAGTTTCAACTCAAAAGGAAGGAAAGTCACAATCATACAATGCTATGCTACGCTACGCACCTACAAATAATGCAGAGCAAGAGAAAAAGGAGGAATTCTACAGACAACTACAATCAGTAATGGACAAGACGTCACACCAGTTGACGACATCAAAATTCTGATGGGTGGGGTGACATGAATGCCAGCCAAACTGGGAGCGGACAACACAGGAAGAGAACTGATCATGGGTCGAGAGGCACTCGGTCAAATGAATGAGAACGGAGAACTGTTTGCAGATTTCTGCGCATTCAATGACTGGTGATTCGAGTCAGGCAGTGTGTACAAACACAAGGATATCCACAAAGTGACGTGGATCTGATTTCATCAGATGAACACACTAAAAATCAGATCGACTTCATCTCAATGTGAAGTAGTAAGTGAAGACGCAGCTTACTGCAGACAAGATCAAGAAGGGGAGCAGATGTAGGTGGTTCACACCACTCACTATCTAGTGCAAACAACCTACCCTCAAAATCAAGTTGAAAGCCTTCGAAGAAGAAGATGGTGATATACCACAGTTCGAGTTCAACACCCAGAACAGAAATCGAACTGAATGACGAAAGTGCAAAGGACATCTTCACGTTAGTCGGTCATCAGAACAAAATGGGAGACACTGAGCAACATCCCTGAAGGAACCTGTGTGGATGAACACTGGAACTCTGTGAAAGCTATGTGGAAAAAACCTGCACAACCGTATTAGAAAGGAAGGGGAAAGAAGACAGGACAAAGAATGGATCTCCACGGACACATGGAAGCCGATAGAGTTGGGAGAGGAAGATGGTGAAGCAGAAGATGAAGCAGAGCAGTGCAGTGCAAGCATACACAACGAAAAGATGAACTGAGTACAATGCATAAAACACTGGACAAAGAAGTGAAGAAGAGTGCGCACAAAGACAAAAGACACTTCCACGACACGCTGGCAAGTGAAGCAGAACAGGCTACTGGTAGGAGAGACCTGACAACATAATATATCAAATAACCAGGTTACTTACTGTCTGGGAAGAGATCAACGCAGACGAAACCAATGGAGATAATGAAGGAGAGCTAGTTACCGAATAGGAGAAACAAGTGAAACGATGGGCAGAACACTTCAAAAAGCTCTTGAATCGACCACCACCGGCACTCGTCCACAAATACCACCAGCAGCCCAGCCACAGAACTATCAGTGAACACACGAAACCGTGAACAGAAGTGAAGTCCTGAATGCCATAAAACTGCTGGAATACGGGAAAGCAGCAGGACAAAATGGAACTCCACCAGAGCACTGAAAACAGACGCAGAGACAACAGTGGACATGCTCACACCACACCACACACCACACCACACCACTACTGTTGAAGGTTTGCAAGGAAAGAAGGAATGAAGGAAAGGTACCTGCAGATTGATGGGAAGAAGGGCTACCTTGTCAGACTCGCAAAGAAGGGTGACCTAAGCCTTTGCAAGAACTGGCGAGGAATCATGCTGCTGTCCACCCCAAGCAAAATATTATGCCGCATCATCCTTGAGCGACTAAAGGAAGCTCTGGATTCAAAATTATGACCGGAACAGACTAGCTGGTTGGATTCAGGTAGAACAAATCATGTGCGGATCAAATTGCAATGCTACGCCACGCATCATCACAGAACAGTCAACTCTCTACCTCAACTTTGTCGACTTTGAAAAGGCCTTCGACATCATCGACCGAGAAGTGATCTGGCAGCCAGCTGCTTCAACACTACGGTTTTAGTGCCACAAATCTTCATCAACCTCATTCAACAGCTATATCAAGACGCCACATGCCAAGTGATCCACAATCGAAAGCTCAGCGATGCCTTTCAAGTGAGTGAAGTGAAGTGAAGACAGGAGTAAGACAAGGCTGCCTACTATCACCCATAATCTTCCTGATTGTCGTGGACTCGACTGGACTGGATTATGCAGAAGATGACTGTGAGGAGCGAGAAGATGGGCATACGCTGGCTGGACCGATGAAAAGACCCCACGAAGAAGATTTGGACTGCGTCGATGATGATGATGATGATTTACGCCTGATGTCTTGTTGCACAAAATCGAAGATCTACAGATGAAAGCTAACAAGTTGACAAAAGAAGCAGGGCAGCGAAGACGGGACTTCCTTCAGGTGAATGTAGAGAAGACGGAGGTGATGAAGATACCCAACCAACAACAGCATCAACAACAACAACAACACCAATCATCATCAACGGGAGAAACCTAAACGAAGTAGTCTCTTTCACCTACCACTCTGCCTAGGCACCATCGTTTCAACTACACGTGGCACAGACAAAAATGTCAAAACCAGGATCGGAAAGATACCAAGACAGGCTTTCATTAATCTAAAACCAGTGTGCAGATCTACTGCACTCCACTCAGCATAAAGAACAACATCCGGATATTCAACACTAATTCAGTCAAGTAAGTCAGTGCTTCTATGTGATGCTTCAGAAACTTGACGCGTCACGCAAACCACTTCCAACAAACTACAGACATTCATCAACAGATGATACCTACGCTCACTCGATACTGACACTGAAGATCAGATGGCCAGAATAATAAGAATAAGCAACTGGGGACTCACTCTGGCTGTCAATGAACCAACCAAGAATCCATCACCCAACAAATATGCAGAAGAAAGTGGAGATGCATCGGATTGGATAGGGCATACACTGAGAAGGCCGACTGGGAGGGAGCATCACGCACCAGGCCAGTTGCTCGAGTGGAACCCAGAGGGGAAACGACGAGTTGGGCATCCCAGATGAGGGTGACATGGAGGAGATCATGTGAGGAAGAAACAAAAGCTTGTGGGGAGTCGTGGAGCCAGGTTGAAAAGACTGCAGAGAACAGAGTGCAATGGATGTGTGCTACTGAATCCCTATGTTCCACTAGGGACCCAAGGGAAAAATAATAATAATACTGTAGTGTAAATCACTACACTATGATGGGGTCTTAGTGCGAAGTCGTACTGCTGCTCGCTGTGTGGGATGTGATAGCATTAAGGTGTTTCCCGCTAACGGCCAGCAGTTCTACGCTGATGCGGCCTTCCCAGTGGGAAGGGGACGTTATAAAAGGCCGGCCCCAAAAATAACACACTTCACCTTC